GGGATCAGGGCAACAGGGGGAAAAATCCTAACCCCCAACCAAAGGGACCTTTTGGAAAATGGGATCCGGACAACGAGAAACATAAACCCTAACCCCAAACCCCGGTTTACCTTGGGGGATGGGATCAGGGAAAAAAGAGAAACTCAAACCCTAAACCCCAACCCCGGGTAACCTTTGGGGGGGTGGGGGTAAAGGGAAAACAGAGAAACATCCCTTTAAACCCCAACCCTTTAAACCCCGGTCACCTTTGGGGATGGGGGTCAGGACAAAAGAAGAAAAAAATAACCCCAACCCTAAACCCCCCGGGACCTTGGAGATGGGATAGGGGGCCAAAAAAGGAAACATTTAACCCTAACCCCCAACCCCGGTAACCTTGGAGTGGGTCAGGACAAAAAGAGGGAAAAAAAACCCTAAACCCAAACCCTTAAACCCCGGTCACCCGGGGGATGGGATCAGGACAACCCGGGAAAAAATAACCCCCAACCCTAACCAGGGCCCCTTGGGGGATGGGATAAAGGGCAACAGAGAAACATCAAATAACCCTAACCCAGGTTCCCCCTTGGGGATGGGATTAGGGCCAAAAGAGAAACATCAAACCCCAACCCAACCCAGGTCCCCCTTTGGGGATGGGATCAGGAAACAGGGGGAAAACATAACCCTAAACCCCCGGTAATTGGAGATGGGTCAGGACAAAAGAGAAACATATTTCCCCAACCCTAACCCAGGGGCACCCTTTGGGATGGGTCAGGACAACAGAGAAAAAATCCCTTTCCCCTTTAACCCGGTCACCTTGGGATGGGACCCGGACAAAAAGGAAAAAATTAAAAACCCCAACCCTAAACCCGGCCCCGGGGATGGGGTTTAGGGGCAACAGAGAACATCCTTAAACCCCAAAACCCCAACCCAGGGCACCCTTTGGGGTGGGGTCAGGACAACAGAGGGAAAAATATAAAACCCCAAACCCCGGTCACCTTGGGAGGGATCAGGGCAAAAGGAGAAAACCCCTCAAATTAAACCCAACCCAGGCACCCGGGATGGGACAGGAAACAGAGAAAAAATCATAAACCCCAAAACCCAGGCACCTTGGAGAGGGATCAGGGGCAACAGAGAAAACCTTCCCCCAAACCCCAACCCAGGTCACCTTGGAGATGGGACAGGAAAAACAGAGGGAAAATCCAAACCCCAAAAACCCCAACCCGGTCCCCTTGGAGAGGGAAACAGGAAAAGAAAGGGGGGGGGGGGAAAAAAAAAAACCCCAACCCCAACCCCGGTCCCCCTTGGAGAGGGGAAACAGGCAAGGAAAACATTTTTAAAACCCCCTTAAAACCCCGGGCACCTTGGAGATGGGATCAGGGGGGAAAAAGAGGAAACATCATAACCCCAACCCAACCCAGGTCACCTTGGGAAGGGTGGGATCAGGAAACAGGGAAACATCATAAACCCCCAAAACCCAACCCCCGGTCACCTTTGGGGAGGGATCAGGAAAAAACAGAGAAACACAAAAATAACCCAACCAAAGGGCACCTTTGGGGATGGGGGTAGGCAACAGAGAAACTTAACCCCAAACCCCAAACCCCGGGGCACCTTTTGGGGGGGATCAGGACAACAAAAGGGGAAAAAAACCTAACCCTTTAACCCCGGGTACCTTGGAGATGGGATCCCGGACAACAGAGAAAAAATCAAACCCCTAAAACCCCAAAACCCCGGTCACCTTTGGGGATTGGGTAAAGGGCAACAGAGAAAAAATCTAAAAACCCAAAACCCCGGTCACCCTTTGGGGATGGGATCAGGAAACCGAGGAAAAAAATAATAAACCCCAACCCAGGTCACTTGGAGAGGGGGTCAGGACAAAAAGAGAAACATCATAAACCCCAACCCCAACCCAGGTCACCCTTTGGGGAGGGATTTAGGACAAAAAAAGAGAAAAAACAAAAAAAATTAACCCCTAACCCAGGTCACCTTGGGGGATGGGATCAGGACAAAAAAGAAAACATCATTAAACCCCAACCCAAAGGGACCTTGGAGAGGGGGGGTCAGGACAACAGGAAAAAATCATAACCCCAAAAACCCCGGACCTGGGGATTGGGACAGGGGCAACAGAGGAAAAAATAAAAAAACCCTAACCCAGGTCACCTTTGGGGATGGGATAGGACAAAAGAGAAAATCCTAACCCCAACCCTAAACCCCGGTCACCTTTGGGGGATTGGGGTTTAGGAAACAAGGAAAAAAACCAAAACCCTAACCCCCAAAACCCCCGGGCACCCGGGGGATGGGATAGGACAAAAGAGAAAAATTTATAACCCAACCCAGGTCACCTTTGGGGATGGGTAAAGGGCAAAAAGAGAAAAAAAATCATAACCCTAACCCTAACCCCGGTACCTGGGAGGGATCAGGAAACCCGAGAAAAAAAACCCCTAAAACCCCAACCCCAACCCCGGTCAAACCCGGGGGGGATGGGATCAGGAAAAAGGGAAACCCCTAATAACCCTTAAAACCCGGTCACCTTGGAGATGGGTCAGGACAAAGAAAAAACCCTCATAAAAACCCCAACCCTAAAACCCCGGTCAAACCCTTTGGGAGGGGTCAGGGGCAACAAAGAGAAAACATATAACCAAAAACCCAACCCAGGTCACCTTGGAGGGGTCAGGACAAAGAGAAAAATCAAACCCTAACCAACCCCGGTTTACCTTGGAGATGGGATTCCCCCAACCCCCCAAACGGCAAAGAGAAAAAATAAAAACCCTAAAACCCCGGTCACCTTGGAGATGGGATAGGACAACAGAAAAAAAATTTAAAAAACCCCAAACCCCCAGGTCACCTTTGGGAGGGATCGGACAACCCGAAAAAAATTTAAACCCTAAACCCCCCAACCCAGGTCACCTGGGATGGGATAAAGGGCAACAGAGAAACAAAACCCTAACCCCCGGTACCTTGGATTTTGGGAAATTTTTGGGGGGAAAGGGGGAAAGAGAAAAAAAAATCAATTTTTCCCAACCCCAACCCAGGTCACCTTTTGGGGAAAGGGGGAAAAGGGGGCAACAGAGAAACATCATTAACCCTAAACCCGGTCACCTTTGGGGATGGGGGATCAGGGGCAACCAGAAGGGGGAAAAAACATAAACCTAACCCCAAACCCCCGGGACCTTGGAGATGGGATAAAGGGCAACAAAAAAGGGGGAAAAAATCCTAACCTAACCCCAAACCCCGGGCATTGGGGATGGGATAGGGGCAACCCAAAAAAAGAAAAAATCCTAACCCTAACCCTAACCCAGGTCACCTTGGAGATGGGATCAGGACAAAAGGAAAAACATATAACCCTAAACCCCCAGGTACCCGGGGAGGGAAACAGGGGCAACAAAAAGAAACATCCAACCCTAACCCTAAAACCCCCGGCACCTTGGAGAGGGGTCAGGACAACGGGAAACATCAAACCCCCAACCCCAAACCCCGGGGAAAATTGGAGATGGGGTCGGACAAAAGAGCAAAATCATAACCCTAAAAAAACCCCAACCCAGGTCCCCCTTTGGGGAGGGGGTCAGGGCAACAGAGAAAAAAATCATAACCCTAACCCCAACCCGGTTTACCTTTGGGGGGGGATCAGGACAACAGGAAAATCAAACCCTAACCCTAACCCCCCCCGGGCCCTTGGGATGGGGAAACAGGAAAACAGAGGAAACCTCATTAAAACCCAACCCCAAACCCCGGCACCTTGGAGTGGGATCAGGACAAAAGGGGGAAACATAATAAAGGTTTCCGGTCCCAAAAAAAAAATCCCCAAACCGGGGCATTAGTGGGAAGGCAAAGGGAAAAAATCATAATAATTCACCTTAAAAGGGGTAGGGAAAAAGAGCAAAAATTACCCCAAAACCCCGGGGTTCACCTTGGAGATGGGGCGGCCAAAAGGCTTATTAACCCCGGGTTTTGGGGGGGGAAGGCAACGGGAAAAATCAAACCCCAAAACCCCAACCCCCGGGCCCGGGATGGGGCGGGAAACAAGAAAAATTAACCCCCCCTAAAAGGTTTTGAGGGTGGGGGTGGGAAACCCTATCCCTCCCTTCCCCGGTTATGGGTTTGGGTTTTGGACCCAACCGGGAAAACTTAACCCTCCCTAACCCCCGGTTTTTCCCCGGGAGGGGGGGGCGGAAAAAAAAGGTTAACCCAACCCCTTTCCCCTCACCCCTTGGGGTTGGGGAAACCGGGAAAAACAACCCCAAATCCCCCCAGGGAGAAGGGAAGGGGGGAAAAAGAGAAAAATCAAAAAAAAGGAAGGAGAGGGAAAGGAAAAGAGAAAATTTTTAAAGGCCCCCAGAGGGGAAACAAAAAAAAATTTAAACCCCCCAAGGTTTTAGTTGGGATTTAAACAACCCCGGGGAAAAATTTTAGGGTGTTGGTTCTCCAAAAAGGGTTTTAAACCCCCTAGTCCCGGAATAAGGTAAAATCGTGATATTTATTTAAAAATTGGGGGAAATTTCCTTAAAAAGGGGAAAAAACCCTTAGTTTGGCACAGGTCTTCCTTGGGTGGGGTTTCAACAATTACAGTTGGAAAAGGGCCACCCCCAACATTAACTTAATTTGAAAAGGGGGGGAACAAAAAAATTTTTTTGGGGGGGTCCCCTACCTTTCAATTTTTTTAAACGGGGTTTTTGGGATCCAAAACCGGTTTTCCCAAACGGGAATTCCCTTTTTATAAGGCCCCCAAATTTGGGTAAAGGGTTAAAGCCCATCCCCGATGTTTTGCAAATTGGCCCTTTAAAAGGTTAGGGAGGGGGAAAAGGGAAGGGAAAGGAAAGGGGGGTAAGGGAAGGGAAGGTTAGGGGAAGGGAACCTTGGAGATGGGATCAGGACAACAGGGAAACATTAGGGTAGTAAGGTTCCGTCCCAAATGGCAGTCTATTACCTTCATAGTGCGGAAGGTCGGAAGGTCAACCTCAGTGATATTCTATCTAGAGGATGGAGTGAGAAGAGCAGGATTACCTGATTAACCAGGTAGGATAAATCACCTTGGAGATGTCGTTCCTCAGGCTGTCTCTGACGGTGTGGCTGTGGAAGTGCTTTAGACGGGACTTCTGGAGCAGCCTGTGGAACGCAGACAGACACGCGCGCAGGATGTTCATAATCTTACATCAGAACAGGGTGGTGAACGTCTGAATGTTGTTTTGAGGATGGGATGTACTCCCTATCTCTCTCACTTGTCTTTGTTGATGGCGTTGGTTCTGAGGATCTCAATCTCGTTTTCCAGGATCTTGAACTTCTCCCTCATCTCAGCCGTTCTCTGGGAGGCCATCTGGATCAGGTTCACACACTTGTTCCTATCACCCTTGATGTTGTCATACAGCTTGGCAAACACACTAAGCCTAGATGCAGGGAGGGAGAAGGAGAGGGAAGGAGAGAGAGAGTCAGAGAGAGAGAGAGAGAGAGAGAGAGAGAGAGAGAGAGAGAGAGAGAGAGAGTGTTTGTATTGGCACAGAGGAAACACCAAAATTAATCAAGTTAGGCATTCAAATCAGCCACCCAGACACTTTATTTTCCAGGTGTGTCTGAGCTGCTCCTTACTTGGTATTTAAAGACACTACGTGGTACTAATGGTACTCTGTGATACTTATTTCAACACACTTGGTAAATACCTAGGGACCAAATGGCCTAGTTATGGAGCAGCAGTAGTCATTCATAGGTCGTTGCAACACACTATCACAGATTATCGTGAAATAGACACAAATTACTTATTCGACATTCGTGACAGGCACACAAAAAATTATTATTTTTGTGTGTCCATTACACGATTTTCTTCATAACGAATTCCAATTTGTTATGAAGAAACCAAAGTTAGCTAGGTTAGCTAGGTGGCTGATGTTAGCTACACTAGGCGTTAAGGTTAGGGTTAGGGGTTAAGGGTTAAGGTTAGGATTAGGGTAAGGGTTAAGGCGTTAAGGTTAGGGGTTAAGGGTTAAAGTTAGGCGTTAAGGTTAGGGGTTAAGGTTAGGGTTAGGGGTTAAGGTAAGGGTTAAGGCTAAGTGTTAAGGTTAGGGTTAGGGGTTAAGGTAAGGGTTAAGGCGTTATGGTTAGGGGTTAAGGTTAGGGTTAAGGCTAGGGGTTAGGTTAGGGTTAGGGGTTAAGGTAAGGGTTAAGAGGCGTTAAGGTTAGGGTTAGGGGTTAAGGTAAGGGTTAAGACTAGGTGTTAAGTTAGGTTAGGGTTCAAGACTAGGGTTAAGGCGTTAAGGTTAGGGGTTAATCTAAGGGTTAAGGCGTTAAGGTCTTCATTCAGCAGTGAGAGAGAGAGAGCTACCTGGATGGACTCTGGTTCTGTTTTACTGTAGCTGTTCATGATTGCAGCGATATTTGCTTTGAGCAATCTCAGCTTGATGCTGTATGTATCAGTTTTTGTCTGTGAGACATAACACATAACACGATTGAGTCTTACGTTAAAAGTTGGTGTGAGTTCAGGTGTTGCTTTCCAGTTTAGTGCGTAAGTGTAGTCTTACTCAGTGTGTGTATTCAGTTGTTGTGTGCTATCTCAGGTTGCACTAGGTGTTATCTCAGGTTGTGTGCTTCAGGTTGTGCTATCTCAGGTTGGTGCTATCTCAGGTTGTGTGTATCTCAGTTGCGGCTATCTTCAGGTTTGGCTACTCAGGTTGTGCTATTGTTTGTGCTATTCAGGTTTGTGTTATCTCAGGTTGTGGATCTCAGTTGTGCTATCTCAGTGTGTGTATTAGGTTGTGTGCTATCTCAGGTTGTGTGTTATCTCAGGTTGTGTGCTATCTCAGGTTGTGTGCTATCTCAGGTTGTGTGCTATCTCAGGTTGTGTGCTATCTCAGGTTGTGTGCTATCTCAGGTTGTGTGCTATCTCAGGTTGTGTGCTATCTCAGGTTGTGTGCTATCTCAGGTTGTGTGTTATCTCAGGTTGTGTGTTATCTCAGGTTGTGTTGTTTTGAGATCTAAGCGAGACATGCATGTAGCCACGTGTGCACATTTTGTTCATATTCTTTGCTAGTTAGTGAGTTATTATCCCAGTTATAGATAATTTGTAGTCAGCAATAGGGGAGTGATTGCTTCCTACAAGAGCACAAAAGTGTACATTTCTAGCCATCTTTGAAAAGCGAGTCAGGTAAAGAGCTTTTTTTTGTCTTAAAGGGGCAGTGTTGTATTTTGAGACAGGCTTGAATAAGCTAAGTAGCCAATGGGCAGAGGGTAGCATAATTTGTCTGATTCTCTGTAATAATGGTATGGGAATAATAACGCATTTTATTTTGTAAAGTGGTTTCTTGCATCATACAACACAACAACATTTTCAGTCAAAAAAGTTAATGTCAAGCCTTGCATGTTTTTTTCAAAAGTCTCATAGAATGTAGGCCTACATTGAACACCACACATTGGCTGCTACTGAAAGCTGAATAATAAAACAGCTATTTCCATGTTTTGGGATGTATTTTTTCCATTGTTTTTGATGGTAGGCCACTCTGATGGGCCTACATTATGATGTTTTTTCTATTTTGTTGCATTACAACCTGTAATTTAAATTGATTTTTATTTGGATTTCATGTAATGGACATACACAAAATAGTCAAAATTGGTGAAGTGAAATGAAAAAAATAACTTGTTTCAAAAAATTCTAAAAAATAAATAACGGAAAAGTGGTGCGTGCATATCTATTCAGCCCCTAAATAAGATCTGGTGCAACCTATTACCTTCAGAAGTCACATAATTAGTTAAATAAAGTCCACCTGTGAGCAATCTAAGTGTCACATGATCTGTCACATGATCTCATTATATATACACCTGTTCTGAAAGGCCCCAGAGTCTGCAACACCACTAAGCAAGGGGCACCACCAAGCAAGCGGCACCATGAAGACCAAGGAGCTCTCCAAACAGGTCAGGGACAAAGTTGTGGAGAAGTACAGATCAGGGTTGGGTTATAAAAAAATATCAGAAATTTGAACATCTCACGGAGCACCATTAAATCCATTATTAAAACATTTTAAGAATATGGCACCACAACAAACCTGCCATGAGAGGGCCGCCCACCAAAACACACGGACCAGGCAAGGAGGGTATTAATCAGAGCGGTAACAAAGAGACCAAAGATAACCCTGAAGGAGCTGCAAAGCTCCACAGCAGAGATTGGAGTATCTGTCCATAGGACCCCTTTAAGCCGTACACTCCACAGAGCTGGGCTTTACGGAAGAGTGGCCAGAAAAAAGCCATTGCTTAAAGAAAAAATAAGCAAACACGTTTGCATGTGGGAGACTCCCCAAACATATGGAAGAAGGCACTCTGGTCAGATGAGACTAAAATTGAGCTTTTTGGCCATCAAGGAAACCGCTATGTCTGGCGCAAACCCAACACCGAGAACACCATCCCCATAGTGAAGCATGGTCAGAATTGAAGGAATACAGGGACATTCACGAGGGAAACCTGTTTCAGTCTTCCAGAGATTTGAGACTGGGACGGAGGTTCACCTTCCAGCAGGACAATGACCCTAAGCATACTGCTAAAGCAACACTCGAGTGGTTTAAGGGGAAACATTTAAATGTCTTGGAATGGCCTAGTCAAAGCCCAGACCTCAATCCAATTGAGAATCTGTGGTATTACTTAAAGATTGCTATACACCAGCGGAACCCATCCAACTTGAAGGAGCTGGAGCAGTTTTGCCTTGAAAAATGGGCAAAATCTCAGTGGCTAGATGTGCCAAGCTTATAGAGACATAGCCCCAAGAGACTTGCAGCTGTAATTGCTGCAAAAGGTGGCTCTACAAAGTATTGACTTTGGGGGGGTGAATAGTTATGCACGCTCAAGTTTTCTGTTTTTTTGTCTTATTTTTTTGGTTGTTTTACAATAAAAAATATTTTGCATCTTCAAAGTGGTAGGCATGTTGTGTATATCAAATGATACAAACCCCCCAAAAATCCATTTGAATTCCAGGTTGTAAGGCAACAAAATAAGAAAAACGCCAAGGGGGGTGAATACTTTAGCAAGCCACTGTAGCCACTGTTAAACCTGTACCTTAAAGCAGCTACAGCCTCAGTGTTGACAGTAAATGCGCACTGGAAGTTGCCCAGAATTTTAACAAAGTTCAAGTTTGCGCTCAGCAGACCTGAAATTTGCTCAGTGCCCAAAAAAAATGGGAGGTAACATTGATGGTGAGTTGTTCTATAGTGATCTGATATGATGTGTTTTACCTCAGCCCTGTGGCGCTCCCTGGGACTTCTGGTGAGATGTTCTATAGCGATATTGATATAAGTGTTGTTTACCTCAGCCCTGTGGCGCTCCCTGGACTTCTGGTGAGATGTTCTATAAGCGATCTGATAGTAATGTGTTTTACCTCAGCCCATGTGGCGCTCCCTGGACTTCTGGGTGAGATGTTCTATAGCGATCTGATATAATGTGTTTTACCTCAGCCCTGTGGCGCTCCCTGGACTTCTGGTGAGATGTTCTATAGCGATCTGATATAATGTGTTTTACCTCAGCCCTGTGGCGCTCCCTGGACTTCTGGTGAGATGTTCTATAGCGATCTGATATAATGTGTTTTACCTCAGCCCTGTGGCGCTCCCTGGACTTCTGGTGAGATGTTCTATAGCGATCTGATATAATGTGTTTTACCTCAGCCCTGTGGCGCTCCCTGGACTTCTGGTGAGATGTTCTATAGCGATCTGATATAATGTGTTTTACCTCAGCCCTGTGGCGCTCCCTGGACTTCTGCTCTCTCTCATCAGCTTTGATCTGAGTCAGACAGCTGAGGGTGTGGAGCTCCTCTCTGTGTCTGTGAGACTCTCTCATCAGCTCCTGCTCCTGTTCCACACACTGTTTCACCAGCTGGGTCTCCACCTCAGCTACTGGTTGCTACACACACACACACACACACACACACATGCACATATTTATGCCTTACACAAATCAAAAACACACACAAACACACGATTTCAAACATATGCTATTTACCTGATGAATCAGGTTTCTCTTCAGCTTGTCCACTTCTAACTGTAACTCCTGTCTTGTCTTTAGAATCCTGTCACTTTTGGGTTTGGCATCCCTCTGTAAGAACAACAAACCCCCCTCAGATCTCTTAGTATTCATGTCTCTAAACATAAAAGGTGCCATCTAGAACATAAAAGGGTTCTTCGGCTGTCCCCATAGGAGAACCCTTTGAAGAACCAGTTTTGGTTCCAGGTAGAACCCTTTTGGGTTACATGTAGAACCCTTTCCACAAAGGGTTCTACATGGAACCCAAAAGGGTTCTACCTGGAACTAAAAAGGGTTCTCCTATGGGGACAGCAGAAGAACCCTTTTGGAACCCCTTTTTTCTAAGAGTGTGCACGACTTTTACAGTAGTGCCCTATTGTAAGGAATAGGGTACCATTTGGGACGCACCCTTTCTCTCCGTTGCGTACTGTTTTATACAACCATGGCAGAAGGCGAAACGTACTGAGATCATAATTAAACTAAGGAAATAAATAATGACAAATAAATAATTGGATTGAATTCATAAAACTGGGGGGAACACTATATTGTTGTCACGGTTTCGGCCGAGGCTGCTCCTCCTCCTTGCTCGGGCAGGCTTCGGCGGTCGTCGTCTCCGGAGTACTAGCTGCCACCGTTGGATGTGTTCGATGTTCGTTTGGTTTTGTCTAGTTGTTGTGCACCTGTTCCCTGTTAGTGTGATTATGTACCCTATATATTGTTCCATTTGTTTGTCATGTGTTGTGTGTAATTGTTTTCCTGTCGTTTGGTGCAGTGCTGTTTGCTAGACTCTCTTTGTTTTACCGTCGCACTATTGTTCGTGCGCAGTTCGGTTTGGGAGTATTTTACGCACTGTGGCGTAAGTTTCGCCTCCGGGTTGTTTGACCCGTGTTATGATTTTTGGATTTTCTAGTAAAGTCTGGATATACTGAGCTCCTGTGTCCTGCTATTGATTCGCACCACATCCGCATCAGAGTTCGTGACAATTGTGTAAGGTTTCTGTAATTAATAGGGGCAGTTCCAAATGCGTCACTACACCAATGTCTTTCATGTTTTATGGTGTAAAATCTGCTGACACTTTTCCAGTTCCTCTCTCTGTTCGTCACTCATGTCCCATGTGGACATTTGTAAACCTGTGAGTGATGTGTGTCACTACCACTTTGATCTCTGGACACATCATCAAGGAAGCACAGAGGCTATTGGGGGATGAAACGTCAACCAAATAAAATCTATAAAATAAGACATTTTAAAGTGAGAGAGAGATATCTTTAGATAGTATCCTCTATCATTACATAGTATTCTCTATCATTACATAGTATCCTCTATCATTACATAGTATCCTCTATCATTACATAGTATCCTCTATCATTACATAGTATCCTCTATCTTTACATAGTATCCTCTATCATTACATAGTATCCTCTATCATTACATAGTATCCTCTATCATTACATAGTATCCTCTATCATTACATAGCATCCTCTATCTTTACATAGTATCCTCTATCATTGCACAGTATCCTCTATCATTACATAGTATCCTCTATCATTACATAGTATCCTCTATCATTACATAGTATCCTCTATCATTACATAGTATCCTCTATCATTACATAGTATCCTCTATCTTTACATAGTATCCTCTATCATTGCACAGTATCCTCTATCATTACATAGTATCCTCTATCATTACATAGTATCCTCTATCATTACATAGTATCCTCTATCATTACATAGTATCCTCTATCATTACATAGTATCCTCTATCTTTACATAGTATCCTCTATCATTACATAGTATCCTCTATCATTACATAGTATCCTCTATCATTACATAGTATCCTCTATCATTACATAGTATCCTCTATCATTACATAGTATTCTCTATCATTACATAGTATCCTCTATCATTACATAGTATCCTCTATCATTACATAGTATCCTCTATCATTACATAGTATCCTCTATCATTACTAGTATCCTCTATCATTACATAGTATCCTCTATCATTACATAGTATCCTCTATCATTACATAGTATCCTCTATCATTACATAGTATCCTCTATCATTACATAGTATCCTCTATCATTACATAGTATCCTCTATCATTACATAGTATCCTCTATCATTATCACATTAATGTATCCTCTATCATTACATAGTATCCTCTATCATTACATAGTATCTCTATCATTACATAGTATCCTCTATCATTACATAGTATACTCTATCATTACATAGTATCCTCTATCTTTACATAGTATTCTCTATCTTTACATAGTATCCTCTATCTTTACAGACCAGAACACTGTGGGCCTGTTTGAGCTGAGTGTGTGAACTGTGAACTAACCGTAGACTTGGTCTTGTCATGCAGTAGCTGAGTGTGGACCAGAACACTGTGGGCCTGTTTGAGCTGAGTGTGTGAACTGTGAACTAACCGTAGACTTGGTCTTGTCATGCAGTAGCTGAGTGTGGACCAGAACACTGTGGGCCTGTTTGAGCTGAGTGTGTGAACTGTGAACTAACCGTAGACTTGGTCTTGTCATGCAGTAGCTGAGTGTGGACCAGAACACTGTGGGCCTGTTTGAGCTGAGTGTGTGAACTGTGAACTAACCGTAGACTTGGTCTTGTCATGCAGTAGCTGAGTGTAGACCAGAACACTGTGGGCCTGTTTGAGCTGAGTGTGTGAACTGTGAACTAACCGTAGACTTGGTCTTGTCATGCAGTAGCTGAGTGTGGACCAGAACACTGTGGGCCTGTTTGAGCTGAGTGTGTGAACTGTGAACTAACCGTAGACTTGGTCTTGTCATGCAGTAGCTGGGTGTGGACCAGCGCGTCCTGGGCCATTTTGAGCTGCAGCTCCACCTTCTTCAGCTCTCTGAGCTGCCGGTCCCTCTCACGCTGCTTCCGTGCCAGGTTCTCCTGCACGCTCTTCCTTTCCATGATGCAGTGGCCTGTATTGACGTCCAGCATTCCTCTGACAAATAGAGAGATAGAGAGGGAGAAAGAGAGAGACATACAGAGAGAGAGAGAGAGAGAGAGAGAGAGAGAGAGAGAGACAGAGAGAGAGGAGAGAGAGAGAGAGAGAGAGAGAGAGAGAGAGAGAGAGAGGAGAGAGAGAGAGAGAGAGAGAGAGAGAGAGAGAGAGAGAGAGAGAGAGAGAGAGAGAACTCATAGGAAAACCCCATTATCATTGTTCCCCACAGCACTGTCCCCTTAAATCTGCCAGAGACTACATAGAACCAGTAACAATAGAGCTGCTGCATGTGGTTCCCATCTCAGTCTAGTTACAGTGAAATGGGTTTTTGTGCCGTCCTTGTGCTATGGCCAGAGGGGAGAAACAGTAAAGGCACTGCAGGACAGATCCCAGTGGGGGTTTCACAGCAGTTGTGGTGGTTCTAAAGAGAGACAGCGTTTGGACTAATAGGGGACAATACAAGCCAATGCATCCAGATTAGAATGATTGAAAACCATGTCAAAATGAATGGGGGATAATTAGATAATGTTATTGCTCTTGTGGGACACATCAAGCTCTGTCCGTTCTGTGCATGTGGCTCCAATTTTTTTTTCATGCATTGTGGTTTATTCTGTTGGGATCCCCTTGAAAACAAGATGGGGGGAACATCAATATACAGGGATTTAACTCACGGAATAACAAAAGTTCCGAAGGCAGCAACTATGTAGCAACAGTGTTATGTATGCACTATCGCTGCATATAGACGCTGCTATAAATAAATGGACATTGTCTGTAGCCAGTCCTGTACCTCTGTCCCATCATAATGACCTCCTTCTCCTTGGCCATCTCCTGTTCTTTCTGCAGCATGCCGTACTCCCTCTCGGCAGCCTCCAGGTGTGCCCTGCGCCCCTCCACCTGCCTCCCCACCTCCCTCTTCTCCTCCTCCAGGGAGCGGCAGCGGGCCTCCGTCACCTTCTGCAGAGCCGCCATCTCAGACAGCTGCTCGTCCAGGGCCGCCTTACTTTTCTCCACCTCCCTGGCCACCACAGAGGAAGACATACATTACACCAGGCTGGTAGACTGTAGGGTTAACCCAGCGAGCAAAACAGCTTGCAAAGATGTCATTCCAGCCAGTTTTGACATAGAGACATTGGTCTGTAGGGTTAGGCGTTTACTCTTGGTAGGTGCCCCAAAAAACTGTGGACTGGATCAAGATTTATGTTGGGAGTCTCCCTCCCATGACTCATGAGCAAGGCCATAATTCCTTCTTTAGTAGTAGCTACAGAGTTAGTTATGAAGGGTAGGTATAGCACATTACCAGTACATGAATTCATAGCCACCCACATCTTACGTACATCTTTTTCCTGTTGATCCTCTCAATCTCCTTCCCCAGTTGGCCAGGCACAGACAGAAGCTGGGCCAACTCAGCCTGGCGACACAAGACAACACACCATAGAGAAGGACATTATAGAAAAACCAATGAGCCCTTCTACCTCAATGTTTTTTATATAATGCCCTTCTCTATGGTATTTTAAACACAAGACTGACCCTCTACCACCCCTCTACCACCCCTCTTCCACCCCTCTACCACCCCTCTATCACCCCTCTTCCACCGCTCTACCACCCCTCTGCCACCCCTCTACCACCCCTCTACCACCCCTCTGCCACCCCTCTACCACCCCTCTGCCACCCCTCTTCCACCCCTCTACCACCCCTCTACCACCCCTCTGCCACCCCTCTTCCACCCCTCTGCCACCCCTCTGCCACCCCTCTACCACCCCTTGTGCCCCCTCCACCCTCAGTCCTGTCACCTGGTTGTTTACTGTGATGTCCTTCTTGTCCTCCAGTTCTCTCTGCTCCCTGGTCATCAGTTTGTGCCTGGCCTCCATGTCCTCCAGCAGGCTGTGTATCTCCTGTCTCCTCTGAGCTGCCTCCTTCCTCAGGTCCTCACTGCTGTCCTTCAGGGCCTTCGCACGCTTCTCCAGCTCCTGAGGACACACCAGGAGCAATGGGTTATGGGACATACCCCCGTACCGTGCCAGCTATTTGAAGCGGATATCAAAGCTAAAAGCTGGGTCGTGACATTCTTGGGAATTTGATTATACGTAACAATGTGATTATATCGTTGTTTTGTTGGGTGTTACAAAGTCATTGCTATTTAACTGTAACCAAACCAACTGTAGTAAAACATTAATTAAAGGAGTAATGTAAAATATCACATTAGAGCAATGATCTGACCTCTCTTAGTGTTAGACACCTACATACGCATGTATGACACCACAACCCAATGACAATGAGGAGACTGAACTGTCAAGAAGCAGGCCTCGTCAATCAAGCATTTTGACAAGGATGCCTCTCAGCAAAGATACCGTCTATTTTTCTGCACTCTCACTTTGTACGTGTCATTTCTCTGCTTCTAAATGAGTGATTTACTACTGTACGTGACATCAAGGGATGTCATGCTGTGGTGCCAGCTTTATGATGGGACAGATCATGTGAATGACTATCAGTGGGAAATACATCTGTGACTGTTGCACTGAGATACTTACAACTGGTTTGGGTTGAGTCTCATACTCTTTCACCAGGCGAAGCTTCTCTTCTGTAAGACTGTAAACAGAGGCGGCATCATTTAGACCACGTGTCAGACTCGTTCCACAGAGGACTGAGTGTCTGTGGGTGTTCGCTCCTCCCTTGTACTTGAGTGATGAATTAAGGTCCCTAATTAGTAAGGAACTCCCCTCACCTGGTTGTCTAGGTCTTAACTGAAAGGAGAAACCAAAAACCAGCAGACACTAGGCCCTCCATGAAACGAGTTTGACACCCCTGATTTACAGGAAGGAACAAGAGGAAGGAACTTGAACACAAGTTCTCAGAAATACTTTACAGAGAAGATGCAAAAGTGACAAAAGTTGAAGACAAGCTTAGGTAACAAGTGGTTGTGTAATAACCTCAAGTAACCTTGCCTAGGCATTAGCTCAACCCCCTAACACAGTCTTGGAGTCCAGATGATCAGGGTTCTAACCCAGTTGATAAAAAGAGGCAGGGAAATTTATACATGTAGCCATACTGAAAATATTTATTGCTTTCAGAAAATAGTTTCTTGGCAACATCTGAGTAAAACACATTTGTCAGTAGTTGCTACTATGTGAAATGTTCAACTGAGTTCAACTGTTGACAGGGTTCTGATATTTACAAAGTCCAGTGGTAGATATTAAATTCCTGACACGTACAAACAATCCTCAGTGAGAAATTGCTGGGTGGATAAGCAGGCCTCTAGGCTACTTTCACAGCACTTGTGTTGCTTCCTGTCATCTGTAAATACTGCATTTGAAGCTAAAACGACTGACAGTTGAATTCCTGTCTATCTGTCTGGCTTGTGATCAAGGGCTTAACATTGCACATCTAAAGACATCTTTGCGGTGAGCATCTGTCCGTCGTATGGAGGGTAGTTCACCAGAGGAAGAGAGGAGGCTGCCAAACTGACAGTCACATCTATACACATTCACAGGATCATATACAACAAGAGACAGAATAGTTCATTACAACATCTAGTCAGAATGCAATGTAAGCAATGCTTTTTATTTAGCCTAATATTTCAATTACTGTTGTAGGCTTTAACAATAGGTACATCATCTACCCCACAGCTATAATGGAAATATCTTCAGGAACAATGTGAATATCATCTACCCCACAGCTATAATGGAAATATCTTCAGGAACAATGTGAATATCATCTACCCCACAGCTATAATGGAAATATCTTCAGGAACAATGTGAATATCATCTACCCCACAGCTATAATGGAAATATCTTCAGGAACAATGTGAATATCATCTACCCCACAGCTATAATGGAAATATCTTCAGGAACAATGTGAATATCATCTACCCCCCAGCTATAATGGAAATATCTTCAGGAACAATGTGAATATCATCTACCCCACAGCTATAATGGAAATATCTTCAGGAACGATGTGAATATCATCTACCCCACAGCTATAATGGAAATATCTTCAGGAACGATGTGAATATCATCTACCCCCCAGCTATAATGGAAATATCTTCAGGAACAATGTGAATATCATCTACCCCACAGCTATAATGGAAATATCTTCAGGAACGATGTGAATATCATCTACCCCACAGCTATAATGGAAATATCTTCAGGAACGATGTAAATATCATCTACCCCACAGCTATAATGGAAATATCTTCAGGAACGATGTGAATATCATCTACCCCACAGCTATAATGGAAATATCTTCAGGAACAATGTGAATATCATCTACCCCACAGCTATAATGGAAATATCTTCAGGAACAATGTGAATATCATCTACCCCACAGCTATAATGGAAATATCTTCAGGAACAATGTGAATATCATCTACCCACAGATATAAAGGACATATCTTCAGGAACAATGTGTTCTAGGCTACTACCCTGGTGAATCATAGTGTCCGTCCCGAATGGCACCCTATTCCCTATGTAGTGCACTACTTTTGACCAGAGCCCTATGGTCCCTTGTCAAATGTAGTGTATTATATAGGGAATAGGGTGCCATTTGGGACGTAACCATAGCCATATCATAGTCCTTGCTGATTAAATGACTGATGAAGAGACCTTTCCTTTAATGTCCTCTTTCTTTGTTTTTTTCACAAGCTTGTTTCATCAGTTGCTAAGCAATATTCCAATGGCCTCTCTGTGGCCTTTCAGTTTAACTGTGTGTGTGTATTTGTTGTGCAGAGAGCAGACAGCTGTGTTCTTTTCCATGCTGTGTTTTGGGGCGTGCTTGGCCTTTCGGACACAAGGACAGGAGTGTTGTTGAGAACAAGTGGAGGAGGCTAGTGGGTGCTCATATTTGTCCTGTTTCACACAGGTCCAAGTGTGTATTATACACGTGTAAAATGGAAATATATATTACTTTTTTTCATATCCCAACTCCCCCTGAGAAACCCTCGGATATTGGGGTCACTGCCAGGGTCAGCCATGATCAATGGCTACCCTGGAGCAATTAGGGTTAAGTGCCTTGCTCAAGGGTACATTGATATATTTTTCACCTTGTTGGCTCGGGGATTCAAACTAGCAACCTTTCGGTTACTGGGCCAACGCTCTTACCGCTAGGCTACCTGCCGCCCATACCACTTCCAGGACTGACAGGACTAAACAAGTGGCTCAGGAGCTGGGCCATACCCTTAACCTCAGACAGACAGAAAGACACACACACACACACACACACACACGCACACACACACTCTCTCTCTCTCTACACTAGGCTCTAGTCAGTGTGTGTGTGTGTTAGCTGTAATCTAAATCAACTCGTCCCCTCACCACTCTAGCTGGTAGTTCATCTGGTAGTCCCTCTCCTCTGCCTCTTGCAGGTCGTTGTGGAACTTGAGGAGCTGCTGTCTCATGCGGCTGACCTCTGTGTCCGGCCCCTCAGGGAACTGCTCAGCCTTCTCCAGCTCTCTCTGCTGGTGCTCCAGCTCTGCTCGGAACCGCTTGGCCTCCTGCAGCAGCCGGATCTCTGACTGCTGGGAGCTGGGGTGGGGAGATGGGGGTCACAGACAGACACAAGTACTAGTCACTAGCGGGTCACACACACAGGTACTGATGGGTCATATTACAGGGCAGAGATGTGGTCAGCTGGCTCAGCTCAACACCCTCAGGTAGGAGGGATCACACAGAGGTGCTAGTGGTACACAGATACAGGTGTTGGTAGGTAGTAGACTCTGTCACAGACTTTCACCTTAGCTGGGCGTCCGAGGGTAGTTATACACTGAGTCTACAAAACATTAAGAACACCTTCCTAATATTGAGTTGCATCCCCTCTTGCCCTCAGAACAGCCTCAATTCGTCGGGGCATGGACTCTGTAAGGTGTCGAAAACGTTCCACAGGGATGCTGGCTCATGTTGACTCCAATGCTTCCCACAGTTGTGTCAAGTTGGCTGGATGCCCTTTGGGTGGTGGACCATTCTTGATACACACTGGAAACTGTTGAGTGTGAAAAACCCAGCAGCGTTGCAGTTTTAGACACAAACCGGTGTGCCTGGCACCTACTACCATACCCTGTTCAAAGACTACTTATTTTGTCTTGCCCATTCACCCTCTGAATGAAACATACACAATCCATGTCTCAATTGTCTCAAGGCTTAAAAATCCTTCTTTAACCTGTCTCCTCCCCTTCATCTACACTGATTGAAGTGGATTTAACAAGTGACATCAATAAGGGATCATAGCTTTCACCTGGTCAGTCTATGTCATGGAAACAATATCATGTTCATAATGTTTTGTATACTAAGTGTATACAGGTACTGATGGGTCATTTTAAACAGGTACTGATGGGTCAATACTATGGCACAGGTCCAGTCCAGCCTCATACAGTGTGTTTTCTGTTATCCATGTAAACATGTAAGGAGCGTCTATGGACAGGGAGAGATGAGATCACTTACCTTTTCAAGGTGTCGTGGAGCAGGCTGAAACTGGCTTTGAGCTTCGCTACTTTGGTCCCGCTGATCTTCCCAGTGGAGAACAGCTACAAGAGAACAACATCCTTCTTTCAATAATCATTTGCCTAAAGCCTTGGACCAGTATCTGCATCTGGGAACCTGTCCATGTCTCTCTATCTGACCACAGAGAGATTAGCTCTCATTGCACATGTCAAATAAAAGCTCAACAACACAGAGTAGATGGTTCCAGTGGCTGTAAACATGTTTGTTGTCTGTGTTTGCTTCAACTACAAAGGAACAAAAACAAAAACAGAACTCCATATCCATAAACACAATTCAGTCGCTATTCAGCGAGAAAACTCTTCCAGCCTTGAAGTATCCACATCAGCTGATCTTCAGAGAGCCAGGCTGTGATGGTTGGAATGATGAAAGACACATCAAAGAGCCAACAAGTGTGTACATCACTGATGTTTTAAGTGACTGTGTTAGATCAGGGTAAACTACCACACTGTGATATGTGATAATGACTTCCTCACAGGGGAACTACAGCTGGCATTAAATAACTGATACTTTGGATTCCTTTCATTACAGTTTATTAGAGTGCTGCACGGTTTCTGGAAACCCCATGCCTTGCAAGGACAATGGAGAATAACAAAGGTACAGAATAATGTATTATTCACCTTGGGCTGGTTGTACACCCTGCATCAAGAGTCATGAGGTTAATGAGTCATACAGGTATAGAGACACATGGGACTACAGGTATAGAGACACATAGGACTACAGGTATAGAGACACATAGGACTACAGGTATAGAGACACACATAGGACTACAGGTCTAGAGACACATAGGACTACAGGTATAGAGACACACATAGGACTACAGGTATAGAGACACATAGGACTACAGGTATAGAGACACATAGGACTACAGGTATAGAGACACACATAGGACTACAGGTATAGAGACACATAGGACTACAGGTATAGAGACACATAGGACTACAGGTATAGAGACACACATAGGACTACAGGTATAGAGACACATAGGACTACAGGTATAGAGACACATAGGACTACAGGTATAGAGACACATAGGACTACAGGTATAGAGACACACATAGGACTACAGGTATAGAGACACTAGACAAGTATGGACACTAGGACTACGTATAGAGACACATAGGACTACAGGTATAGAGACACATAGGACTACAGGTATAGAGACACACATAGGACTACAGGTATAGAGACACATAGGACTACAGGTATAGAGACACATAGGACTACAGGTATAGAGACACATAGGACTACAGGTATAGAGACACATAGGACTACAGGTATAGAGACACATAGGACTACAGGTATAGAGACACATAGGACTACAGGTATAGAGACACATAGGACTACAGGTATAGAGACACACATAGGACTACAGGTATAGAGACACATAGGACTACAGGTATAGAGACACATAGGACTACAGGTATAGAGACACACATAGGACTACAGGTATAGAGACACATAGGACTACAGGTATAGAGACACATAGGACTACAGGTATAGAGACACCATAGGACTACAGGTATAGAGACACACATAGGACTACAGGTATAGAGACACATAGGACTACAGGTATAGAGACACCATAGGACTACAGGTATAGAACAGACACAGTTAGGACGACTACAGGTATAGAGACACCCTAGGACTACAGGTATAGAGACACATAGGACTACAGGTATAGAGACACATAGGACTACAGGTATAGAGACACATAGGACTACAGGTATAGAGACACATAGGACTACAGGTATAGAGACACATAGGACTACAGGTATAGAGACACACTAGGACTACAGGTATAGAGACACATAGGACTACAGGTATAGAGACACATAGGACTACAGGTATAGAGACACATAGGACTACAGGTATAGAGACACATAGGACTACAGGTATAGAGACACATAGGACTACAGGTATAGAGACACACATAGGACTACAGGTATAGAGACACATAGGACTACAGGGTATAGAGACCACATAGGACTACAGGTATAGAGACACACATAGACTACAGTGTAATAGAGACACATAGGACTACAGGTATAGAGACACATAATGGACTTACAGGTACAGAGACAAATAGACTACAGGTATAGAGACCATAGGACTACAGGTATAGATACACACATATGGACTACAGGTTATAGAGACACACATAGGACTACAGGTATAGAGGACACAAGTATGACTACAGGTAAATAGAGACACAATAGGACTACAGGTAGAGAGACCACATAGGAACTACAGGTATAGATACACATAGGACTACAGGTATATAGACACCACATAGAGATACAGGTATAAGAGACACATAGGACCTACAGGTAGAGACACATAGGACTACAGGTTATAGAGACACATTAGGGGCCGACAGGTATAGAGACATCATTAGGGCCTAACAGGTATAGAGACACACATAGGACTACAGGTATAGAGGACACATAGGACTACAGGTATAGATACAACATAGGACTACAGGTTATATAGACACCATAGGACTACAGGTATAGAGACAACATAGGGACTACAGGAGACACATAGGACTACAGGTATAGAGACACAATGGACTACAGGTATAGAGACACACATAGGACTACAGGTATAGAGACACATATGACTACAGGTATAGAGACACATAGGACTACAGGTATAGATACACACATAGGACTACAGGTATAGAGACACATATAGGAATACAGGTATAGAGACACACTAGGACTACAGGTATAGAGACACATAGGACTACAGGTATAGAGACACATAGGACTACAGGTATAAGACCATAGGACTACAGTTAGAGACACATGGACTACAGGTATAGAGACACCATAGGACTACAGGTATAGACACACATAGGACTACGGTAATAGAGACACATAGGACTACAGGTTATAGAGACACATAGGACTACAGGTATAGAGACACATAGACTACAGGTATAGAGACACATAGGTACTACAGGTATAGAGACACCTAGGCTACAGGTATTGAGACCATAGGACTACAGTTAGAGCACTAGACTCAGTATAGAGTAACTCAGCCGTGCTGTCTGTTAGAGATGAGATCCAGGCCTGGTTGGTCCTGTAACTCAGCCAGTTCTGTCTGTTAGAGATGAGATCCAGGCCTGGTTGGTCCTGTAACTCAGCCAGTTCTGTCTGTTAGAGATGAGATCCAGGCCTGGTTGGTCCTGTAACTCTGTCAGTTCTGTCTGTTAGAGATGAGATCCAGGCCTGGTTGGTCCTGTAACTCAGCCAGTTCTGTCTGTTAGAGATGAGATCCAGGCCTGGTTGGTCCTGTAACTCAGCCAGTTCTGTCGTTTAGAGATGAGATCCAGGCCTGGTTGGTCCTGTAACTCAGCCAGTTCTGTCTGTTAGAGATGAGATCCAGGCCTGGTTGGTCCTGTAACTCAGCCAGTTCTGTCTGTTAGAGATGAGATCCAGGCCTGGTTGGTCCTGTAACTCAGCCAGTTCTGTCTGTTAGAGATGAGATCCAGGCCTGGTTGGTCCTGTAACTCTGTCAGTTCTGCTCAACCAACAATGGAATAGCTCAATTATAAGGGCTATGGTTTCCCCTTCCTTGATAAAAATTAAAGACAGTTTCTAGTTCAGTGTCTGGGAGCCACTTAAAATAATTGCTAGTTGAAATGTTTAAATTCTCAACAACAACAAAAATATACCCTATCAGTTATTTAGAGTTCCAGACAGTTACAATATTTATAAGGATGAGTCACTAACAGTATGCTATTGATGAAGTGCCGAACCCATAGATATCGTAGACATTAAATAACAATAATACAAGTCACTTTATTCGTAAAGTCAAGTGCTTTTCCTGCATGTGAGGAGGACTCGTTAATGTGTAGCCCATCTGATGACAAGATGGCTGACTCGTGACTGCCACCACACACAGCCCTGTTGCACTGCCAGTTTCAGCCTGCTACAGGATGTGAGCTGTTCTCTTTATCTTTCACGGCTCTACAGTCATCTCACCTTTGACCCAAAACTAAGGTGTATAACGTGAGTTTCAATAGAGGGTTTGAATTGCAACACCCTATTGTGGGGTAATATAGTGTGAATGACTTCCAGCTTGTGAAAAGCTATAGCCCACTGCACAGGAATCCCACAGCCCACCACAAACTGAGTCCATCAGTACGATAAGCGAACAACTCATCGTGGCAGAGAGAAGATGCTCTGTATACAAATGAGCCTTTCTCAGACATTACAGTCCTGGTGGTGTCATATCACTAGAGACGGTTGTAATAAATGTAATATAAAACTGGTATGGCAACGAGACCAGAGTTAAGAAGGAAAGAGAGACATTGGCGTTGGTTCACAGCAACACTGAGATCGGAGCTTGGAGATAAAACAAGTGCACTGCAGGACCATAGCCTTTCTCTCTGTCCAGATGATCTAGTGTGGTCTTAAAACCAACCACTTCCACCACTTCAGAAAGGGCTTAGTGTCCTAGCTCAGGCTCAATACCCAAGAAGACAAAACAGCAAAACAACAAGATGAGGGAAACCTACAAGTGAGAATCCTAATTCCTTTGTACTGACTCACTTGTCTGTTCAGGGAAATGGGCTAACTTTTAAAAGAACTGCAGCTCAGCCAGCCTTCCTACTCTCTCTTTAATGGTTCACTGTGCTGCTGATATTGAGTGGAGGAATTACGCAACACAGTTCAGCAGCCTCTATCCCGCCTCCCTTCCTCACACTGCACCCCTCCCTCCCTCTCTCTCCTCCCTCTCTCTCTCTCTCTCCCTCCCTCCCTCCCTCCCTCTCTCTCTCCCTGCCCCTCCCTCCCCCCTATCTCTCTCTCTCTCTCTCTCTCCCTCCCTCCCTGCCTCCCTCTCTCTCCCTGCCCCTCCCTCCCCCTCTCTCTCCCTCCCCCTCTCTCCCTGCCCCTCCCTCCCTCCCTTTCGCTCTCTCCCGTGATATTAATGACAGCTATCTCAGGCAGGAGGCAGTCTCCTGCGCTCACTCTCCTGCAGGCTTTTCTCTCACGCTGCTCTCACTCTCTCTGACTGCGTAGCTGAGAAACACTCACTCACTCACTCACTCAAACACACACTATGAGGCTGGTCCTGCTGTGTGTTTCTGCCTCCACCACTCTTCTGCTGGCAGTCCCATGGAGCTCCGCAGCAGACCCAGGAGACGGAGCCCAGAGATGGGATAAGGTCCAGGATAAGCCTGCTACAGGAGGGGGTTCAGGGGGCTGCCCTGTGAGGATGAAGCCTTCTGGCCAGTGTGGAGAAGAGGACGACTGCCCCTATCAGATCACCCTGCCTCCACTGACTATCCAGCTGCCCAAGCAGTTCAGGATGCTGGAGAAGACCATGAAGGAGCTGCAGAGCCTGAAGGAGACGGTGAACCGGTTGAAGAGGGACTGCCTGGAGTGCCGGCAGCAGGCTGACCAGAGCCTGCAGAGGGACAGCGGGGAGGCAGCAGGGGGTCCCGGTACGGGGATGGGACCAGGGTTTCTGGAGCTACAGTCTGGAACCAGTAAGGAGGAACGAGGAGATGGGGGAACCAACACAGGACCTGATGGGGCTGGCCAAGACACTGGAACCGGCATTGGCACTAGCACCGGTTCTGGTACTGGCAAAGGCAGTGGCTCTACCGGCGGTTCTGTGTTTGAGATGCAGGTGAAGATGAACAGGATGTCCAACAGCCTGCGTAACGCACGGGGCCAGATCACGGCTCTGCAGGGCCGTCTGGAGGAGCTGAGCCTCATCAACATGAGGAACGTGGAGGCCATGGTGGAGAGCAAGGTGGAGAACATCACTGGAGTGGTCAACAAGCTCAGCAACACCTGCAACAGCCAGTGTGCCGTCCAGACCTCTCCTCAGTGTACGTGTATTTACTTATTGCCTTTATTTAATTAACCAAATAGGTTATTGAGAACATATTATCTTTGACAATACATTCTGTATAACCTTTAACTGATTTACAAGACCCTCTGCTATCACTAAGCTATCATTATTCTGTAAACTGCAGAATATTGAAAATAGCCCCTCTATTATCTTGTAGAAGCCCCTCAAGTCTCTTGTTATTGCTAACCTATTGTTCTCCTCTAAGCTTCAGCCAGACAGACTTATAAAACCAGGCTTTCCTGCACTGCATGCAGTACTGTACAGTATGCCAGTCCTCTCTACTGAGGGTGAGGACTCTGCCGTATCAGTCTCAAAAGGACAACAGCAGGTTTAACTCCAGATCATCACCCTTCATTTATGGTCCTAATTACATTACTTCCTCACACTTTTTCTTTCAAAACTCATTGGGATATTCTGATATTTTGAGTTTGGGATATTCTGATATTTTGAGTGTGGGATATTCTGATATTTTGAGTGTGGGATATTCTGATATTTTGAGTGTGGGATATTCTGATATTTTGAGTGTGGGATATTCTGATATTTTGAGTGGTCCTTCCGATGGAAAGAGATATGCATATTTTCATATGGGCTTAATAGAAACCAATTTGCAACTAATTTGCCTGTCAGTTTCAATACTGTATACCACTAAGGTGCTTCATTTTGGAGATCTGAATTGAAAACCCATGCCCAATTATTGATGGAATGCAAACTAGTCATAACAAAGTTACATTTCCATCTTGAGGTAACTCTAGGGGACATATTTCAGTAGTAATCATATAACATATTACAATCCATCAAAATGGATATTGAACCATTCCTATAGCATGTGACAACGATCTCCTCCATTGGCTATTATCTGAAAAACAGATGTGAGATCCTTTTGAAATGGATCGACTCCGACAGCAGTGCGATTTCTCCAGCCAGTGTACATGGGACAGTGTTAACGTGTGGTCATTTCAGTGTGAACATTGGGACAGTGTTAACGTGCGGTCATTTCAGTGTGAACATTGGGACAGTGTTAACGTGCTGTCATTTCAGTGTGAACATTGGGACAGTGTTAACGTGCAGTCATTTCAGTGTGAACATTGGGACAGTGTTAACGTGCAGTCATTTCAGTGTGAACATTGGGACAGTGTTAATGTGCAGTCATTTCAGTGAGAACATTGGGACAGTGTTAACGTGCAGTCATTTCAGTGTGAACATTGGGACAGTGTGAATGTGTGGTCATTTCAGTGTGAACATTGGGACAGTGTTAACGTGCAGTCATTTCAGTGTGAACAATGAAGACAGTGTTAATGTGCAGTCATTTCAGTGAGAACATTGGGACAGTATTAACGTGCGGTCATTTCAGTGTGAACATTGGGACAGTGTTAACGTGCAGTCATTTCAGTGTGAACATTGGGACAGTGTTAATGTGCAGTCATTTCAGTGAGAACATTGGGACAGTGTTAACGTGCAGTCATTTCAGTGTGAACATTGGGACAGTGTGAATGTGTGGTCATTTCAGTGTGAACATTGGGACAGTGTTAATGTGTGGTCATTTCAGTGTGAACATTGGGACAGTGTTAATGTGCAGTCATTTCAGTGAGAACATTGGGACAGTGTTAACGTGCAGTCATTTCAGTGTGAACATTGGGACAGTGTGAATGTGTGGTCATTTCAGTGTGAACATTGGGACAGTGTTAATGTGTGGTCATTTCAGTGTGAACAACTAACTCCTTTATTACACTTGCCATTAACACAAGATGATGCAATTTGTTGCCTTCCGACAGTTGGTCATCGTTAGAAGAGAACACTGTGTAGAAGTAGAGCTGTGAGGGGAACGGCACCTCCTTACCTTCAGGCTCTGATCAGACCCTACACCCAAACGAGGGCACTACGTTCATCCACCTCTGGCCTGCTAGCTCCCCTACCTCTACGAAAGCACAGTTCCCGCTCAGCCCAGTCAAAGCTATTTGCTGCTCTGGCACCCCAATGGTGGAACAAGCTCCCCCACGTCGCCAGGACAGCGGAGTCACTGACCACCTTCCGGAGACACTTGAAACCCTACCTCTTTAAGGAATACCTGGAATAGTATAAAGTAATCCTTCTACCCCCCCACCCCCCCCAACATAAAAAGAAAAACAAAATGGTGGTTGTCCCACTGGCTATCATAAGGTGAATGCACCAATTTGTAAGTCGCTCTGGATAAGAGCGTCTGCTAAATGATGTAAATGTAAAAGTACTTGTCTTGGATGAATCTGTCATGTTTCTTATAAGAGCTCTGCAAATTACTCTGGATAACAAAAGTGATTCATGCTAAGATTATGTAGAAACAGGCAACATAAAGTGTTGCAATAGGAGTAGAGAGCATCCAGTATCAGAGTCCAGTAGTGCTGGTGTGTTCTGTTGGTGACACATCCTTCTACCGGCCACGTCTCTGTCTTGATATGGGAAACTCTCCTCTTGGCTCAACGACAACAGAACGTCATCAGTCAGACATCTCACAATCTCTGTAACGGATCATTAAGCCCCAATTCACAGTTAAACTAAACAGTATGCTTTCTATCTCTGATTGGATTTGAAGGCATTTGAGGACATACAGGGAGGGAGTCTACCTTTGGAGCGTATAACTGAATCACGTTCTCTATTCATTTATAAACACTTTTAAGATTCATTTAATGTCCCTAGCCTTTTTCTGTATGAATTGAAGGAACTGTTTGCCTGTAATGTGAGAATGCACAAGCTCTTCATTGGGAGGATGTTAGTTCTAGATAAGGGTTTTATCTCTCTGCATACTTCCTTGATAATACAGCTGCTTTTCCGTTGCTGTCAATCACCTTTATCAGTCTGCATGGCTGTCTGTCCATCTGTCTGTCGGACTGTTATATTTGGGTCAGTCACAGCCTGGCGTCCATATTCTGAGAACCACTATCACATATGGGCAGACTTTGATAGGAGTACTGCCCACAAGGGGATATAAAGACACACACACACACATCCTGCCAGGCTAGCTTACTAACTGACTGCTGTGTCATCCTCTTCTGGCTCTGATCTGTCCTCTTCTGGCTCTGCTCTGTCCTCTTCTGGCTCTGCTCTGTCCTCTTCTGGCTCTGCTCTGTCCTCTTCTGGCTCTGCTCTGTCCTCTTCTGGCTCTGCTCTGTCCTCTTCTGGCTCTGCTCTGTCCTCTTCTGGCTCTGCTCTGTCCTCTTCTGTGCTCTGCTCTGTCCTTTCCTGGCTCTGCTCTGTCCTCTTCTGGCTCTGCTCTGTCCTCTTCTGGCTCTGCTCTGTCCTCTTCTGGCTCTGCTCTGTCCTCTTCTGGCTCTGCTCTGTCCTCTTCTGGCTCTGCTCTGTCCTCCTTCTGTGCTCTGCTAACTCAACTCCTCTCTCATGCTTCCTAGGCTCCTATCCTGAGCAGCCGACTGGCGTCACTTTCCAAAACGCAGGGGGCTCTACGCTCCAAAAGTGGATGTCAGGATGCATTAGCATCACAAACACAAAGTGGGGACTGGCAGGCTCTCCAGCAGCCTTGGTTAATCCCATTTTACACTTTCCCACGTTTTGACAAGTCTGTCCTCCCCTTATATCAAAACACTCTGACGGCCGTGGCTCGACTCGCTCGGTCAGCTCTGGGCTGAAAGTCAGTAACATTCCATGCAATGGCCTACTGGGCTGTGAGACTGAGGGAAACAGTGTTTTTTTGACTCCTCTGACACTGACCGTTGACTTTCTCCCTTCCCCCTGCCCCGCCTCTCTCTCTCCCCCTGCCCCGCCTCTCTCTCTCCCCCTCCCCCGTCTCTCTCCTCTCTCTCTCTCTCTCCCTCCCCCGTCGCTCTCTCTCTCTACCCCTTCCCTGCCCCCCCCGTCTCTCTTCTCTCTCTCTCCCCCTGCCCCGTCTCTCTCTCCCTCCCCCTGCCCCGTCTCTCTCTCTCTCTCGGCCTCCCCTGTCTCTCTCTCTCTCTCGCTCTCTGTCTCTCCTCTCTCTCTCTCCCCTGTCTCTCTCCTCTCTCTCCCCCTCGTCTCTCTCCTCTCTCTCTTTCTCTCTCAACCTTCCCCTCCCCCGTCTCTCTCTCTCTCTCGCTCTCTGTCTCTCCTCTCTCTCTCACTCTCCCCCGTCTCTCTCCTCTCAACCTTCCCCTGCCCCGTCTCTCTTCTCTTCGTCTCTACCCCACTTGCCCCGTTCTTCTCTCCCTTCTCTCTCTCTCTCCCTCCCCGTCTCTCTCTCTCTCTCTCTCTCTCCCCCAAACAGTCATCATCGCGCCCAAGGACTGCTCTGACTACAACATGCTAAAGGAGAGGAAGAACGGCGTCTACCGGGTCACGCCCGACCCCAGGAACGGCACGTTCGAGGTCTACTGCGACATGGAGTCGTTCGGCGGCGGCTGGACCCTGGTGCAGCAGCGCCTCAACGGCACCGTCAGCTTCAACCGCTCCTGGGCTGAGTACAAGGTTAATAATCCCATCTGACACTTTTTGACAAGTCTGTTACCTTTATTTCTCAAACTCTTTGACAGACCGTGGCGCTACTCGCCAGGTCACCACTCTGGGCTGAAAGTCAGTAACATTCCATGCAATGGCCTGGTGGCCTGTGAGAATCAGGGAAAACAGGGATTGCGTCCCAAATGGCACCCTATTCCCTATATAGTGCACTACTTTAGACCAGAACCTATGTAGGGAATAGGGTGCCATTTGGGACAGATTCGACTCCTCTGACACTGACCTTTACCGCTCTCTCTCTCTCTCTCTCTCTCTCTCTCTCTCTCTCTCTCTCTCTCTCTCTCTCTCTCTCTCTCTCTCTCTCTCTCTCTCTCTCTCTCCAGAGGGGCTTTGGTAACCCACGGGGAGAGTTCTGGTTGGGCAACGACCGCATCCACCTCCTGACCAAGGCCAAGGACATGGTGCTGCGCATCGAACTGGAGGACTTCCAAGGGGTGCGGGAGTATGCCAAGTTCGACCAGTTCTACGTGGCCAACGAGTTCCTGAGGTATCGTTTATCCATCAGCGGGTACAGTGGCACGGCCGGCAACGCGCTGCACATGAACAAGCAGTTCAACCACGACCAGAAGTTCTTCACCACACCAGATAGGGACAACGACATGTACCCGTCAGGGAACTGCGGGGCGTACTACAGCTCGGGGTGGTGGTTTGACGCCTGCATGTCAGCCAATCTCAATGGGAAATACTATCACAAGAGATACAAGGGCGTGAGGAACGGCATCTACTGGGGAACGTGGCACAACATGTCCAGTGAAGCATACCCTACCAACTACAGGCAGGCCTTCAAGACGGTCAAAATGATGATACGGCCAAAGAACTACGTTCCGTAAAGGAAGGCAGCATGAGATCGGAAACGACCGGAAAGATCAGAAAGACTTTCTTCTTCTTAACTCTCTGCTCCTTTGACCTCTCTGCCTCCCACTGTCAAGTTTAACCACATGGTTCAGAGACGGTCTGAGACACTTCGGTTCACGGTAATAAAACAGCAATGAATTCTTCAAAGTTACCAGTTTCACCGCTGTAAACAAGGTTGGAAAAGACTCCACCGAAGACAAATGTATGATATCACAGTCATAGTAAATGTCAGACATGTCTGGCTATCGATTAAACAACATAATATGGAACATGTGCTACTGAACTAATAACAGCAACAAAATGGCGTCAGATATGTTTGCTTTGTGCAGAATAATTGCATTGGTTGACTGCAGGCACTGCAACTGTTTCCAGACATCTGTATATCCCAAGCGTTTCCTGTATAATACTGCCACCTAGCTTTATATCATAACATTGCATCCTCATCTAGACATGCTGAGCAGCATTGGAAAACAAAAGTCCCCAAGATCAAGGAGGAAATGTACAGTATTTATTTTTGGAAGTATGATAGCTTTTATATAACTAATATATGGACTGTATTTTCATGCAGTACATAGTGATTGCCTAAGATAAGTACCCCAAAAAAGTATTGTATTCTGAATAAAAAGCATTGTATTGGGGTTGGGAAGTTGACCACAGAGAAGTTTAAAACTAGAATATGGATTATTTGGACTTGTATGAAACGGTTTAAAGTGTAGGCCTATTTGAATAGAATAATTGATTATGTAGCTTGACATTTAGAACTGTATTTACATTAGACCTGTTTTATTCACCTTCCATTGTCCTATTCAAAAAAGTATTTACTTTTTATATAAAAACACGAATAAAGTTTTTACAGATTTGCACTGAGTACTGAATGCTTTGTTATCCATATCCCCCATGAAACACAGCAGACAAATAGCCCTGACCTAGCCTATATCTGCAAATCATCAGCAGAGGTTGAGGGCAGAACTCTATCTGTAAGCTTATAATAATTTGTTCAAAAGTAAGGTATGTAAATCAAACAATTGTCTGGTTGCTGTAGTATACACCAATAGAAACAGCCGCACATGCTGACATTTGCATACTCCTACAGTTTACATTGGAGCATACAACAGTGTACTGGTATTCTATACATTTTCCCTTCATAAGGGTTCAGCATTGGCTGATGGTTTATTTATTTTCCCTTCATAAGGGTTCAGGATTGGCTGATGGTTTATTTATTTTCCCTTCATAAGGGTTCAGGATTGGCTGATGGTTTATTTATTTTCCCTTCATACGCGTTCAGCATTGGCTGATGGTTTATTTATTTTCCCTTCATAAGGGTTCAGGATTGGCTGATGGTTTATTTATTTTCCCTTCATAAGGGTTCAGGATTGGCTGATGGTTTATTTATTTTCCCTTCATAAGGGTTCAGCATTGGCTGATGGTTTATTTATTTTCCCTTCATAAGGGTTCAGGATTGGCTGATGGTTTATTTATTTTCCCTTCATAAGGGTTCAGGATTGGCTGATGGTTTATTTACTTTCCATTCAGAAGAGTTCAGGATTGGCTGATGTTTTTTTAGTATTTAGTATTTATTAGGATCCCCAATTAGCTGTTGCCAAGGCAATGGCTACTGTTCCTGGGGTCCAAACAGGAAACAACACAACAAATAAAATACATAATATACATAAATAACCATAGCACTACATTTACATTACAATTTAGCTATTCAGCAGACGCTCCAATCCAGAGAGACCCACAGCTAGTCCATTCATCTTAAGATAGCCAGGCGAGGCAACCACATATCACAGTCGTATCCCAACCACGTATCACATACATAATACAATACATAATAGAATGCATAATACAATACAAAATGCATCAACATGTCTGTGTCTCTTCACAGTCCCCGTTGTGCCGTAAGGTGTTCTTATATCTGGTTTTTATCTGGTTTTATTGCTAGCTTGAGTTACCTGGGGTGGCAGAGAGTTCCATTCAGTCATGGCTTTATTTAATACTGTGTGTTTCCCAGCCTCTGTTCTGGACCTTTGGACTGTGAAGAGACCTCTGGTTTCAACTAGTCATGGTGACCTGCAGTTCTAGCAACTATGGTGGATGAATAACTAGGTCAGCCCAGTAGAGCTCAGCTCGGCTCAGCTCCGTTTGTCTCAGTACTGTGAAAAGGGTATATGTTACCTGGTCTAAGCACTGGAAGGCTGGGCTGTCAGAAACGTGAGTGGGGCCCAGGGCCAGGCTCTCCTCCTGTAGGGCAGCATCAGGAGCCAGGGCTGATAGAGGAGTAGTCTCCTCCTGGGTCTGCTGCTCCTCCTCCTCACCTCCTCCTCCACTGGGAGGGTTGGTCTGCTCTCCAGCCTGGCTCATAGTGGCCCTGTCACACACACACAGACAGACAGACACGCACGCAGACAGACACGCACGCACGCAGACAGACAGAGACAGCAGACAGAGACAGCCCAGTGGGTTAGGCCTAAGAAGTGTAAAATAAATACTGGTAGAAAGACTATTAAACCAGTTTTAACTGGAGACTAGGCCTGTGTGTTTTTCAACTCCTAAATAATATTTTTCTAGACGCGCACTGTCTGTGTTCATTTGCAAGGTGCAATGATCATTGTTCTATCTGTGATATAACGTTAGCTAGAGAGCACTTGATTTAGATGAATAATTTTAGCCAAACAGAACCCAAAACTTCGCTGCCTACTATTTGACCAGACTCGCGTTAGCTAGCTAGGGAAAGAAAACATAGCTAGGTAACGTTAGCTAACTGTTACAATTATGTTATTCTTACCTATAACACTCCCTTTATTCAGCTGTGACTTCAGGTTTGTCTAAATAATTATCCAGCATTATGCCAAACCATGCCATAAAAGTTAGGTCTGGGAAGTAGAGCTATTTGTAAATGTTGTTGGTAGCTGCTAGCTAGCTAAACACCAAAATACTTCAGTAAATCTCAGCCTCTCTCTGTTTTGTTGAATGCCTTGAAAACGTTGCCATAACAACGAAGCACCAACATCCCTTTCAGCTAGACTGAAAATCCTGTTTTCAAACTTTTAAAAACAGCTAAGAGACAATAAGACACGCAAAATACTAGCTGTATTGACATTTTTAAATTAAAGCAGCGCATGCACTGTATTATTGTTGAAAAATGTATTGATCATATTGAATCGCATGCTTGCAGGGGCAAACAGACAGCTACATTCCAGCAGAGGGCACCAAGTATTCATTATCATGAGTTCAGAGAATTTTATCCACAAGCTGAGCTGTGGTCACCTTTGCGTTCTGCTGGGGGGGAATCGCGAGTAGGAAGTAGGTCTTATTTTGCCCTTCCTTAAGATGTGGCTTTAGTGTAGTGATACCTGTACTGAGAGCATCATCAAGGTCTGCTCCTCATTTGATCCAAGCCAACCAACCCTTGTCCTGGAGGCATCCTCTGTAGGAGGCATATACATACACAGGAAATAAGTCTAAGGATTGTTATGGATTGCACCAAGAACTGTTGAGTTTGGAGAGTTTTGGTCCAGGCAATGGGTTTTTGTGATATATATAAAAAAAAAGTTGATTTACTCTGACAGAATTGAATTTGAACATTCTGGAGTTGAGACCAGGGCCTGAATTCATAAAGCGTCTCAGAGTTTGACTGCTGATCTAGGATCAGGTCCCCCCTGTCTATGTAATCATATTCATTATGATCTAAAAGGCAACATTTATCCTAGATCAGTACTCCTACACCGTGACTCTTTGTGAATATGGGCCCAGAACAGCTGGAGAGTTCCCTTTTCTCCATTGTGTCATGGTGACAGGGTCACCCTCTCAGCTCACGAGAAACTGTGGAAAACCATTTAAGATCATTGCTCTTTCCCCTGGATCCAAATGTGGTCTTGATTACGCTCCTTCCCCTATGCAAATTCCTCTGGGTGCATTCATTGTTCTTACATTTTTCTTAAATCACATAGAAAATATTAATAACAGCCTTCTGGTTCACCACATCAAAATGTTTGTGAAACACTCCAGATGGTGCTTGTGGTGTGTGTGTGTGTGTATGTGTGTGTGTGTGTGTGTGTGTGTGTGTGTGTATGTGTGTGTGTTAAAGGGGTAGTAGGATTTGGCAGGTCCTGTGAAGCAGGATTCTTATTTTGGGAGAGACTTTTATAGTGGCCCTGTACTGACTAGAAATGTTCATAGATAGACTAGATCCTCTGTCCTGTGACTACTGCAGTAGGTTATTTGAGCCAGTATCAAATGGTTGACCTTTGGCTCAGAAGTTGACTGATGTTTTTCATGATCCATTTATAGCTCATAAGAACATTGTATGTCATTACTCACTGATCTGGTCGTTTTTGGTCCAGTAGAGGGTTCGCTCCCAGCATTAACCTTGACTTCCACCACATTTCTGGACTGATTTCTGGAACCTGCCCATGTTTTTGTTTTCTATAACAATATGCCCTTCAAGTGAATTATACTTTTGGCAAGTAAAACAAGTTCCTGCAATTCTCAGAAATTATTTCTAGATTTGTGTGTAACTCAGAATTTCATATGCATGAGGGCATGCAGCTAAGTTAGGACAGTAGATTTAGCTAACTGGTCACAATTAACAAGGTTTGTTTTTCTTATCATTCCATATTCCATCATGATATTCCATCAACAAAACGACTTCATTTAGTTCTGTTTGTTACTAACTCCTAATAATGTAGCAGCACAGGAAAACAAGGTTCTGTGCTGTATTCAGTAAACACAACAGCTGGTGGTAAACCATAGCCATTAAAGATGAAGGAATGTGCACCATTCCATGCAGACGTATTTAGTTTAACTTTCTGAGTAGGTTTTCAGTCTAACTTTGTGCATAGGGTGTGTCTCTACCTGTTCTGATTATCCAGCCTATATTTAGGGCTCTTTAGTGATTTAGTGCCCTCCTTAGTGGTCAGTGAAGTCATACACACTTGTTCCTTCTGAGTGCCATGGTAAAGTGTGTTTCTTTTTCAGGAGTTCCAAAGACATCACTCTATTACTAGTAGGTGGAATATTTGTTCTTAGAATAGTGCTGAGCAGTGCTTGAAGTGGATTAAACATCATATTTATGTACCAGGGTTTGTATTTTTGAGCCGGTATTCTCTAAAGAGGTGCTGGCACTCAAACAGTAGAAAATGTGAGATTCTCTGTACAAGTGAGCACTGGTCCACTTTTAACACTGGTGTGGCAGGTAGCCTAGCAGTTAAGAGCGTTGGGCCAGTAACTGAAAGGTTGCTGGTTTGAATCCCCAAGCCTGAAAACTCTGCTGTTTGCCTTTGAGCAAGGCAGTTCCTGTACATTTTTGTAGATGATCGTGTCCAGAGTGACTTACAGTAGTGAGTGCATACATTTTCATACTGGTCCCCTGTGGGAATCAAACCCACAACCCTGGTGTTGCAAGCGCCATGCTCTACCAACTGAGCTACACAGGACCACAGTTAACCCCCAACAACTGGGCGTCTGTTAAGGCAGCCCCCCGCACCTCTCTGACCCAGTTCGCTACAGCAGTAAAATAATCCTGCAGAAACAGGAAATGTGGATTGTAATTCATGATTTTTTTTTGTAAGGGTTGATACATTTTCCGTTAGGGCAAATCAAGTCTGACATTTTAAAGTGGAAATTGCAAACATTAGAAGTATTTTTAAACCTCGAATACACTACAAGTTTGCATTTCCTGCCGTGCAGGAAAATTCCTGCAACAACATGATGATGAATTTAAGATACGGCATCTTATCAATATCATACAGTATCTTGGAGAGATTTGAAAACAACCAACAATCTTCTTTTAAGTGATCTGGTTGCAGCTGTGTATAACCATACTCTGGTCGAGTGCCAACCTCTTGCAGCTGTTCTATGGCTATGTGGAGCCTGTGTCGTTCATATGATCACCCTGGGTGGTGTGTTTCACCCTGGGTGGTGTGTTTCACCCTGGGTGGTGTGTTTCACCCTGGGTGGTGTGTTTCACCCTGGGTGGTGTGTTTCACCCTGGGTGGTGTGTTTCATAAAGCTTATCATTCCATGAATCACTATGGCTGAATGAAATAATCAGAGGAAAAAGTTACTGTATCCTATACACTCCGTTTCTTCTGTACCCGTGAATTGTAGTCGTAACAAAAGCAGAACCAAATTGGGGGTAATTTTGTGGTCCTTCTGCAGGCTCTTTAAAGTTAGGTGGTGTTCTGTTTTCAATATCCCAATTAATCCAAGTTGGGTTTTCTTCCAGACATCTGCACAGCACAGCGAGGACTATAGTTCCACAGTCACCGTAGAAGGTTCCGTTCCAACTGACGAAATCAGGAGATATCTGCAGATACTTAATACAATCTATTAAAGCCTTTCGAGAGGTTTTTATGAAACTCTTTTTAAGAGTTACTGTATAACAAATTGCCTTCCTCGCATCAAAAGTGTTGCTGAACAAAGGACAGAAATGGAAATGTTTTTGATTGACATTCACAGGCAGTGATCTTCAGACTCTCTCCCCAGATAGCAAAACATCAGATAATTGGACAGCTTGACTGAATAAATTGTTTCACCCTCTTTTTTCTGACATACCAAACAACATGTTTCCAAACGTGAGAAAGCTCTGAGAGTAACAGCTGTGCATATTTGTGTTGGAAGTGTCCTCGCTCACTGAGATACTTACCGTACTGCTTAGAACCTCAGAGTCATGTCTGACTCCTGTGATGTCACAGGGCTCCGCAGGCTAACATGGGACCTCCAGGATCATTCAGGACACATGCCGCTATAGAAACCCACCGCATACATCAGATGGCCCACAATCCCTGCATGTGTGAATCACTCATGGTGTGTATGAACCAAGACATCGGTTTCTGTTCAGGATCGTATGGACTGACTTAATGTACTTTAGGTCTTCAGCGGGTCCAGGCCTAACTCCTCAGCTTCATGTGTTGAGGTGCAGAGAGGAAGAGGTAGTGCAGAGAGGAAGAGGTAGTGCAGAGAGGAAGAGGTAGTGCAGAGAGGAAGAGGTAGTAAAGCCTTGAAACAGCTGTTTGAACGGACTCGAAGACGTTCCATGTTTTATGGTGAAGGTACGATGCATCACAGATCAAACAGATAGTTGAAGGGGTTATTAACCTTTTTATTTAACCAGGGAAAAACACATTGAGACCTAGGTCTCATTTGAAAATGTGCCCTAGGAACAATACAGAAAAGAAAAGTATACACAATTTAAAACACAAAATTAAATAAATAGCAAATATTATATACACAATAAACAATCAAACAAAACAAACACATTTATCAAAATAAAAATCACTAGCCTTTCTCCTAAACTGACCCAGAGACAACAACACATCCAAATGAAACGTTACTTGGAGATTATAACTTGTCAACATGCTTTTTAAAAGATAGCTTCTCGTCAATCCAGATGCCCAGATATTTATAGTCGGGGACACAATCAATGGGAGCACCATCTAACGTACTTATGCACAACTCATCAGTTACATTATTATTAGGGGAAGGATGTGCCTAAATCCCTTTAGGATTAGTGAAGTGTGTGTGTTAGTAATGTAAACCTCATGCATTTCAGAAAAAATGGCTTTTATTTCATGAACAGATTGTCTAAATCATACATTTAGAAAATATCAACCTCTACTTTTTCAAAAAAGTATTTACACAACAAAATATTATTGTAACGAAAACAGCAACAACTGTCCTGCATTGGTTATGCTGGTGGGAATCCAACTATCCTGCATTGGTTATTCTGGTGGGAATCTCAACGTAAAAAAAAAATCTGATACAGACTGAATTGGAATGTTCTGCGATAATATAAAACACCACCACCACAACAACAACAACAACAACAACAACAACAACAACAACAACAACAACAACAACAACAACAACAACAACAACAACAACAACAACAACAACAACAACAACAACAACAGTTCTCGTGTAATTTTCAACTCTATCCTATTAACTCAACCTGGTGACCTCATATTTCTTTGGTCTGGGGTCTCTCAGAGGCTTCGGTAGCAGCTCGATCTCCTCCTCTGTCTCGGCCACTAGCTCCTGAGCTGTCCCTGTACCCGTACCTGTCTGTCCCTGTCCCGTATCACCCTTCCCTGGCTGTGGATCCTTATCCTTGGGACACTCTCCGTTGTAGGTCTTGACATAATTCTCCACGAGCCAGCCCCTGAACTCCTGAGGCTCGGTGCAGACTAGGCCAGAGTAGGCCACCCTGGGGTGGTGCTTCAGCCAGTAGATCAGGTAGTGGATATTGTAGTCACAGACCCAGGGGTTATCCCCCAGATTCAGCATCCTGAGGAAGTACAGGTCCTCCAACACTCCGTACTGGAAGTAGTGCAGGCTGTTGTTGGACAGGTCCAGCTCCCGCAGGTACAGGAGCCCAGCAAACGCAGCTATGGAGAGGGGGAGAAATGCAGGATGGTAGGGGTTAGAGGGACAGGGTATTTCAATTCATCTTGTAGCAGAAGTCTCAGTGGACATCACAGTACAGTTGAAAAATATATGGCAAATAGAAATCCAATGTGGATGGTGTTAAGAGATAGATGGGAGGTGTTGAATGGAGCTGAAGGATGGGACTAATAACAACAACTAATAACAACAAGATAACTAGTGTAAGACATGCTGTGTCCATAATAAGCATATAGGTTATATATTGTGAGCTTTGTGAAAGAGCACAGTTAGAAAGATATGGCATATAGAAGCATACCAGATGGACATCATGAAAATTATCGGAGGAAGTTCAGGAGTAAAAACAAACAAATATAATTATTGACTGTGTCCATAAAATGTATATAGTATGTATAAGCATGAAGTAGAGGCCTAAGCATTGTTGTTCACTAGTTTACTCCAATTAGGGAAGGGATGGTGGGGTTGGAAAGTAATAAAGGGAAATATATATATTTTTAAAGGATATGTATGTATATATATGTATGTATATGCGTATATGTATGTATGTGTATATATATATATATACAGTGGGGAAAAAAAGTATTTAGTCAGCCACCAATTGTGCAAGTTCTCCCACTTAAAAAGATGAGAGAGGCCTGTAATTTTCATCATAAGTACACATCAACTATGACAGACAAAATGAGAAAAAAAAATCCAGAAAATCACATTGTAGGATTTTTAATGAATTTATTTGCAAATTATGGTGGAAAATAAGTATTTGGTCAATAACAAAAGTTTCTCAATACTTTTTCATATACCCTTTGTCGGCAATGACACAGGTCAAACGTTTTCTGTAAGTCTTCACAAGGTTTTCACACACTGTTGCTGGTATTTTGGCCCATTCCTCCATGCAGATCTCCTCTAGAGCAATTATGTTTTGGGGCTGTCGCTGGGCAACACAGACTTTCAACTTCCTCCAAATATTTTCTATGGGGTTGAGATCTGGAGACTGGCTAGGCCACTCCAGGACCTTGAAATGCTTCTTACGAAGCCACTCCTTCGTTGCCCGGGCGGTGTGTTTGGGATCATTGTCATGCTGAAAGACCCAGCCACGTTTCATCTTCAATGCCCTTGCTGATGGAAGGAGGTTTTCACTCAAAATCTCACGATACATGGCTCCATTCATTCTTTCCTTTACACGGATCAGTCGTCCTGGTCCCTTTGCAGAAAAACAGCCCCAAAGAATGATGTTTCCACCCCCATGCTTCACAGTAGGTATGGTGTTCTTTGGATGCAACTCAGCATTCTTTGTCCTCCAAACACGACGAGTTGAGTTTTTACCAAAAAGTTCTATTTTGGTTTCATCTGACCATATGACATTCTCCCAATCCTCTTCTGGATCATCCAAATGCACTCTAGCAAACTTCAGACGGGCCTGGACATGTACTGGCTTAAGCAGGGGGACACGTCTGGCACTGCAGGATTTGAGTCCCTGGCGGCGTAGTGTGTTACTGATGGTAGGCTTTGTTACTTTGGTCCTAGCTCTCTGCAGGTCATTCACTAGGTCCCCCCGTGTGGTTCTGGGATTTTTGCTCACCGTTCTTGTGATCATTTTGACCCCACGGGATGAGATCTTGCGTGGAGCCCCAGATCGAGGGAGATTATCAGTGGTCTTGTATGTCTTCCATTTCCTAATAATTGCTCCCACAGTTGATTTCTTCAAACCAAGCTGCTTACCTATTGCAGATTCAGTCTTCCCAGCCTGGTGCAGGTCTACAATTTTGTTTCTGGTGTCCTTTGACAGCTCTTTGGTCTTGGCCATAGTGGAGTTTGGAGTGTCACTGTTTGAGGTTGTGGACAGGTGTCTTTTATACTGATAACAAGTTCAAACAGGTGCCATTAATACAGGTAACGAGTGGAGGACAGAGGAGCCTCTTAAAGAAGAAGTTACAGGTCTGTGAGAGCCAGAAATCTTGCTTGTTTGTAGGTGACCAAATACTTATTTTCCACCATAATTTGCAAATAAATTCATTAAAAATCCTACAATGTGATTTTCTGGATTTTTTTTCCTCAATTTGTCTGTCATAGTTGACGTGTACCTATGATGAAAATTACAGGCCTTTTTAAGTGGGAGAACTTGCACAATTGGTGGCTGACTAAATACTTTTTTCCCCCACTGTATATATATGCGCGGAAAAAAGAAAAAAAACATATGGGGATTGGAAGTAATGCAGACAATTACATTGATGGAAGTTACAATCTATCTGCAATATTAAAGCTGATCTACCCCCTAAAAAAAAAAAAAAAAAAAAAAAGTCTCAGTGGAAGTAATTCCTACTGGACAGGTACAGGAGCCCAGTGGAAGTCATTCCTACTGGACAGGTACAGGAGCCCAGTGGAAGTCATTCCTACTGGACAGGTACAGGAGCCCAGTGGAAGTCATTCCTACTGGACAGGTACAGGAGCCCAGTGGAAGTCATTCCTACTGGACAGGTACAGGAGCCCAGTGGAAGTCATTCCTACTGGACAGGTACAGGAGCCCAGTGGAAGTCATTCCTACTGGACAGGTACAGGAGCCCAGTGGAAGTCATTCCTACTGGACAGGTACAGGAGCCCAGTGGAAGTCATTCCTACTGGACAGGTACAGGAGCCCAGTGGAAGTAATTCCTACTGGACAGGTACAGGAGCCCAGTGGAAGTCATTCCTACTGGACAGGTACAGGAGCCCAGTGGAAGTCATTCCTACTGGACAGGTACAGGAGCCCAGTGGAAGTCATTCCTACTGGACAGGTACAGGAGCCCAGTGGAAGTCATTCCTACTGGACAGGTACAGGAGCCCAGTGGAAGTCATTCCTACTGGACAGGTACAGGAGCCCAGTGGAAGTCATTCCTACTGGACAGGTACAGGAGCCCAGTGGAAGTCATTCCTACTGGACAGGTACAGGAGCCCAGTGGAAGTCATTCCTACTGGACAGGTACAGGAGCCCAGTGGAAGTCATTCCTACTGGACAGGTACAGGAGCCCAGTGGAAGTCATTCCTACTGGACAGGTACAGGAGCCCAGTGGAAGTCATTCCTACTGGACAGGTACAGGAGCCCAGTGGAAGTCATTCCTACTGGACAGGTACAGGAGCCCAGTGGAAGTCATTCCTACTGGACAGGTACAGGAGCCCAGTGGAAGTCATTCCTACTGGACAGGTACAGGAGCCCAGTGGATGCAGCTGAAGAGGGGTACAAGGAGAGAGGACGTTGTTCAGTTGCTACTTCAATTAATCTTATACAGTCGTGGTCAAAAGTTTTGAGAATGACACAAGTATTGGTCTTCACAAAGTTTGCTGCTTCATTGTTTTTAGATATTTTTGTTAGATGTTACTATGGTCTACTGAAGTATAATTACAAGCATTCCATAAGTGTCAAAGGCTTTTATTGACAATTACATTAAGTTTATGCAAAGAGTCAATATTTGCAGTGTTGACCCTTCTTTTTCAAGACCATTCTTGCATAATCAATGCTTGGAGTTTGTCAGAATTTGTGGGTTTTTGTTTGTCCACCCGCCTCTTGAGGATTGACCACAAGTTCTCAATGGGATTAAGGTCTGGGGAGTTTCCTGGCCATGGACCCAAAATGTCGATGTTTTGTTCCCAGAGCCAATCAGTTATCACTTTTGCCTTATGGCAAGGTGCTCCATCATGCTGGAAAAGGCACTGTTCGTCACCAAACTGTTCTTGGATGGTTGGGAGAACTTGCTCTCTGAGGATGTGTTGGTACCATTCTTTATTCATGGCTGTGTTCTTAGGAAAAATTGTGAGTGAGCCAACTCCCTTGGCTGAGAAGCAACCCCACACATGAATGGTCTCAGGATGCTTTACTGTTGGCATGACACAGGACTGATGGTAGCGCTCACCTTGTCTTCTCCGGACAAGGTGTTTTCCGGATGCCCCAAACAATCGGAAAGAGGATTCATCAGAGAAAATGACATTACCCCAGTCCTCAGCAGTCCAATCCCTGTACCTTTTGCAGAATATCAGTCTGTCCCTGATGTTTTTCCTGGAGAGAAGTGGCTTCCTCGCTGCCCTTCTTGACACCAGGCCATCCTCCAAAAGTCTTCGCCTCACTGTGCATGCAGATGCACTCACACCTGCCTGCTGCCATTCCTGAGCAAGCTCTGCACTGGTGGTGCCCCGATCCCGCAGCTGAATCAACTTTAGGAGACGGTCCTGGCGCTTGCTGGACTTTCTTGGGCGCCCTGAAGCCTTCTTCACAGCAATTGAACCTCTCTCCTTGAAGTTCTTGATGATCCGATAAATGGTTGATTTAGGTGCAATCTTACTAGCAGCAATATCCTTGCCTGTGAAGCCCTTTTTGTGCAAAGCAATGATGACGGCACGTGTTTCCTTGATTTCAAACACCACCCTCCTTTTAAAGCTTCCAGTCTGTTATTCTACCTCAATCAGCATGACAGAGTGATCTCCAGCCTTGTCCTCGTCAACACTCTCACCTGTGTTAACGAGATAATCACTGACATGATGTCAGCTGGTCCTTTTGTGGCAGGGCTGAAATGCAGTGGAAATGTTTTTTGGGGATGAAGTTAATTTTCATGGCAAAGAGGGACTTTGCAATTAATTGCAATTCATCTGATCACTCTTCATAACATTCTGGAGTATATGCAAATTGCCATCACAAAAACTGAGGCAGCAGACTTTTGTGAAAATTAATATTTGTGTCATTCTCAAAACATTTGACCACGACTGTACAGTAGCACTCAGTGGAAAGTTTCAGTGGAACTAATTTCCACTAATGGACATGAATGCTGAAGTATTACCTGGAACTAATGTTCTGCTGTAACAGGAGAAAGAGTAACAGCTTCCATAACTAATTTCTGACTGTTTTTTCAGCACCTCGTCTTCAAACACATGCTGATATTAACTTTGACCAGTGCTCTCCCCATCACCTACTCTCAGCTCTAATTCAAGCTGAAGTTAGACTGTTGATGTGCCTAATAGTTGGGCTGACATCTTTAAGATGTGTGTCCTGCAGTGTAGCCCTGAGTAATGGTGGCTGTGTGTGCTTCATGCTGGCTAGCACCATAAAGGTGACTCGTGTTTGCATCTCAATGTGAAAAAAACTGTTTGCATGTTCTTCACAAAGGGGGCAACAGATGCTACTGAGCCAGAAGTCTATGTGTCAGGGGAGAAGCTCCAGGGAGTATCTGATTTTAAGTACCTTGGCATCATACTTGATTCCAACCTCTCTTTTAAAAAGCATGTGAAAAAGGTAATTCAAATAACCAAATTCAACCTAGCTAATTTCCGATTTATACGAAATTGTTTGACTACAGAGGTAGCAAAACTGTACTTCAAATCTATGATACTCCCCCACTTAACATACTGCTTGACTAGTTGGGCCCAAGCTTGCTGTACAACAGTAAGACCTATTCAGTCTGTCTACAAACAGGCTCTCAAAGTGCTTGATAGGAAGCCCAATAGCCATCATCACTGTCACATCCTTAGAAAGCATGAGCTCCTGAGTTGGGAAAATCTTGTGCAATACACCGATGCATGTCTTGTATTCAAGATCCTAAATGGCTTGGCTCCCCCTCCACTCAGTATTTTTGTTAAACAGAAAACCCAAACATATGGCAGCAGATCCACAAGGTCTGCCATGAGAGGTGACTGTGTAGTTCCCCTAAGGAAAAGCACCTTTAGTAAATCCGCTTTTTCTGTGAGAGCTTCCCATGTCTGGAATACACTGCCATCAGACACACATAACTGCACCACATATCACACTTTCACAAAATGCTTGAAGACATGGCTAAAGGTCAATCAGATTTGTGAACATGGTCCCTAGCTGTGTGTTGCCGCTTTCCATGTCTGTTGTCTGTAACTTGTGAGGTGTGGAAACACTTTGTTGCTTTTATGAATTTTGTCTTGCTGCTTTTTGTTCTATGTTGCTCGGTCTGTATGCTACGTCTTGTTTGTCCTATGTTGCTATGTCTGTATGCTATGTCTTGTTCTATGTTGTTATTGTCTATATTGTAATTGTTTTTAATAACCTGCCCAGGGACTGCGGTTGAAAATTAGCCGGCTGGCTAAAACCGGCACTTTTACTGAAACGTTGATTAATGTGCACTGTCCCTGTAAAAATAAACTCAAACTCAAAGATAGATAGGCCTACTGTATTTAGCACTGTCTCCAGAGTGACCCTCTTGTCACCACTCCCACAAACCTCCTCAGATTATGCTATTATCATACTCATGAGAATTACTGTCCGGTTTCTACTGGTTTGTTTGTGCAACTCAATGAGACCACAATTCTGGTCTATTTTTGAGACCAGTTTGGGCTTGCCACAGAGCTTAGCTTCTCACAGTCGCTGAGAAAACTGAGGGAGCAATTTGTGAATATTTATTGTGGATTGTGTTCAATTTGCAGTTGCTTTCTCTCTCCAGAACGGATTGGCCTTTTATCCATAACAGGCTATTTAATTTATTTCTCCTCAATCATGACTGTGTGTGTATCAGTGGCAACCCGTCATTCAGGGCAGGTCCCCACCTGTTTTGAACCCCACATTTTTACCAAAGAAAAAAAAAGATATATAAATATATATATATATTTATTTATTTTCAATTTTTTGGGGCTTGCCTGTTTTGCATGTTATTTTGGCATTAATACGTGTCACAAATCAGTTTGCAAACAATGTAAAAATGTTTTATATAATTGAGTTAATAAAGCCGCATACAAACATGGTCTCTTTTTTGTTTTCTTGAGTAAAGCAGCTCCAAAATGCAGGTGTTTCAGCTTAGCGCAGTGCTTTCTGTGGTGGTGGGGCAAGCCAGCAGAAAATAGGAGCATTGCGCCGTGATTGGCTCAGTGTTCTGTCACTCATGGGGACACTACATCACCTCCAAGTCTAAGTCCTTAGTAAGGGTAGACATCGAAAATTCTAGCCCTTCGGGTCCTGCCATAGAGTTACATTAGAAGTGCGAAGGCTCAATGTCATTGGCCACAGATAAAATGACGTCAAATCACCGTATATGTACAGTAGCTTTGATTGGACTGATCATGTCAACATCTTACTTTCAAAATCTTAGCTAGCAGTCATCATCATGAATGAAGTCGACAATCTACTGGCAAATCCTTTTTAATCCTTGTCATATGAAGAGAAATAATGAAGATAATTATATTGGTGTATTGGTGCTCATCGGCCATTGGACATTGCACTACAAGTTAGAAATCGCAAATTCAACAATGAGTGGTTTGGAAGAAATCGGTGACAGTGGCTAACTGCAAGCGTTGCAACTGGTAAATCGGGAATAAACGAGCTCAGACTGGGAAAATACGTTTTGAACGGTCATCCAACTCGGAATTGTAAATCCGTCCTCTTTCTCTTTCTTTGATGACAAAACTTGCCCACGAAGGACCGTCGCGCCACCTTCCTGTTCAAGTGAGCACATCACAACAACGTCCCAAAATGTCTTATATGCTGCTGCATGAATGATGTAATATGCCAGGGAGATATGTATACTGTAGCTAAGAAAGTAATACTAAGTGTATGTTGTGTAGTAAGCTGTTAGTAGCCCATGTGCCTCACCATAATAATTTGGTTAATTTTCACCTCTTAATTTCACCTACTGTTCTGACTCAGTGGTGCACATGTAGCCTATAACCTGTTTTTGAGAAATGTAATCATCAAATATTGTAAGAGCTTTCATTGTCTGCTTATATGCCCCCTTTATTTATCCTACTGTTCTGACTTGATGCACAGGGAGAACACTGTAAGAACGGCCCATGTTCTGAATTCTGTCGCTGTACATTTCAAAAGTGCTGAACAAATAGTTATATTGACTACCTCCGTCCTGGCTCGCTCATTAATAACGTCTTAATCAAAATGACGGATTGCCTCTTATCCGCTTGTCGTCCCCTTATGCCATAGTTTGTACATCTCAATTGTCAGTAGAAACCACATTTGTTTAAGCAAGTCAGCCATATCAGCTATGCTCCGCTGATAGCCAGGTGTAGCAATGGTAAGGTGTTGGGACTGCTATTGGGACAGGTTTATGTAGGCCCTAACAGTTTGTGGGCACCGTTTGTCACCGTTATAGTGCAATTAATGTATTGTTTAGTGTTGTGTTGTGTAGTGGCTTTGCTGGCATGCATCCCACATATTTTGTTTTTGTTGCCCCACCAAGATTTACATGCTAAAATCGCCACTGGTGTGTACAGTACTGGTTGTCATAGTGGGTCAGAATTAACCACCATTTATTGCTCAGTAACAACTCAATGTCAATTGCTTACATATGTTCTGCAATAATGAATGATAAGGGAATGATTTTCCTTCCTTGGCGAAGCTTCCTGGCTGTGTGACCAGTTCTTGTTAGCCTAGGAATAATGATATAGCGGGTTTTTTCTTCCAGTTCTCCAACGTAACAGAACTAGAAGGTAGTGTAGTGATTCCTCGGCAAATAGAGAACCTTGTTAGTTCTACAAACGAGATGTAGTATGTTTACGGCATCGTAGGCTCCTTTAACAAGTCAGATTAAACCGCGTGAGAAGCTAATGAGCGTTAAGGATTTCTATGGATGTGTAGAATTGATCCAAACTCAACGCTGTCTGGTATGGTAGATAAAGTATGTGAGTTTTTGATTAGTCTTTTTTTCTGCATCTTTTCCCACATTACCCCAGGGACTCTAAGGATTCTATTTCAGGATGAAATAAAGCTCTGCCTCCATTTTGCGATGAATGGACTCAAGGTCAAGGTTCTCATCTGATTCCTATTTTGACCTCTTTCTTTGAAGGTCCAGTGTGGGCTCGATTTCCATTGGGAACCAGTAAGAAAATGTATGCACTCACTACTGTAAATCACACTTCCCAAAAAAAAAAAAGGATTGCTTTATCTTATTAAATACGTCTTCTTCTGGATCTGATCATCTGTGCAGCATGACTTGGAACACATCCATAAGGAGTGTGCTGTTGGAAGGAAGTGGATGATCTCTTCTCACCTGTGTCGATCTGATCCAGACTGTTGCTGCTGAGGTTGAGGAGCTTCAGGTCCCTGGCAGCAACAAAATCCTTGGGCCGGAGCTGAGTGATGCTGTTACTGGACAAGTCCATCCTCACAATGTCTGACGGGAGGCCTGAGGGTATGTTCTTCAGCTCTGGAGAGAGGGGGGGAGAGAGGGGGGAGAAAGAGAGAGAGAATATGGAGGTCAGTGAGAGGACAATGGCTTAACCAGACATGTTTACAATGGCAAAATCAACTAGCTTTCATACTGCATGAAAACATGAACGAAAACATAAGCGGACACACAAGGAACTTTTGGGCATAAGTTAATTTTTTAACCCAATGCATACTTTTTGATCGCCAGAGTGACTGAAATGTGGATTCCTACATATGTGATTTCCAAGTGTGCCCTAAGAATATCAAGATGGTCCCCTTTCTATAGTCACTCTGTAGCCATGTTGTAGGTCTGTGCCAAGCAGGACTGTTATTCACAGCACTCTGGGTTCCCTTAGCCTTTGAAGGGTATGAAACATGAAGGCTAACATATGAAACAGGGTTTCCCACAGGCTTAGAAGGCCTCTGAGAGAGCTTCTCTCTTTTATTGTGATCGCCAGCAGCCTTTACCATAGAAGGAAAACATCTGCAAGAGCCATTGTTCTCAATGTATAGTTTAACATAAAGACTAAGTAGGTGGTCCCTAAAATGCATACAACTTGTATTAACACTTCATAATGAATGATGTCTTTGGAACCGGTTTTCCAAGTCATGTTCACAATGAAAGGAGTTAGCTGTAAAACTAAAATGCTTAGCTGAGAAGGAACATCGCTGTGGTGGGGTGGAAAACCATCATTGTTTATTTCATGAACGACGCAGGACCTTTTGTGTTTGTCAAACTCCATGTACAGTCTTGGACTGCTTCCAGTAGGCCACATCCTGAGCATGGTTCATGTATCATTCAGCTGAAGGAACTATTACAGACCTTTACGGCAGACAGCTGCTCAAATATCATAACAGCATACGACATCCATCATTCTCCACCGTAAGGAAATGAGATTAGCCCTCCTTGGCTTGTAGATGGGGCTGCTGCTGGAGCATTCACAACAGCACAACAGAGACAGAAGTTAGCGTTCCCGATGACATCCTATTCTCTATATAGTGCACTACTTTTGACCAGAGCCCTATGGGCCCTGGTAGGGCTCTGGTTAAAAGTAGTGCACTATATAGGGGAATAGGGTGCCGTTTGGGACGCATCCAGAGATGTTCCCTCTTCCCTTATATATCAAACCCCTGCCTCACAACACCTGTGATATGCTTTAGTTCAAACTACAGCACTGAGTGGGGAAACATGCAGATGGTTGGGACGTTGGGAGAAGTCAAGGTCGTTCATGCATAACAGTTTTTGGATCAGCTTCTGTTTTTGACATTTCTACGCTCATCAGGAGAGCATCAACCCTCAGTCTAATTTATCCAATACCTGCTGCTAATGATGCTGCATGAGAAGACGACCGATTGTCTAGGAATCCATGTGATGTACATGGACTTTCAGTGTTCGAACTGTGCAGGACTAAATCATGTCATAGTTCAGGGGTGGGCAACTTTGATGGGGGTGGGGCCACAAAGAATCTGAACTCATCATGAGGGGCCACAGTGGCTCGGGGGTCTGCGTACCCAAATCCATACCCACTCAGGCAGTCAGAGCCGGGGCCTTTTGGGGGCCCTAAGTGAAATTTTGTCATGGGGCGGAGAGAAGATTTAGCAATTTTATTTTAAAAAATCATGCAATTCTACTCATTTTGCCAAGGGGCGAAGAGAAAAATTTGCAGTTTTACAGCTAATTTCCTGCAATTCTACACATTTTGCCATAGGGTGGAGAGAAATGTTTGCAGTTTTTAATATGAAATCTAAATGAGACTGACTATCAAAATCAATGGGGCCCCCCCGGTCGGTAATTCGACCATGATTACTACAAGTTTAGATAGCTGGCCGCTAGACTAACTTACCAATCTAAACAAATGTAGCTGTCAGTGACTGACATAACAACCACTCTCAACAGTACGTTTATTAGACTTTTTTGGGGGTAATTGTTCCGCGGGCCAACAAAAGGGGGGGCCGTGGCCAGTTGCCCAACCCTGATATAGTTTATTAAAATCACATGTCGTTTACAGACAGGAGGAAACTAAACGTATATAGCCATACATTTAGGTTGTAAATGCACAGTGCTGCTTTTACAGAGTAAGGTGCCAAACATGCCTGTATATCAAAGAAAATCAATCCTGCTGTGGAGGAGAGAAGACTACCAGCAGAATATTACTCCCTCTCTGCTACACATCATGACTCCCCCAGAATGTGTATTAATGAGATTCAACTTGTCTGCTGACAATATACCCGACCGTCGGTTATACAGGAAATCCAAGAAACCATGATATAATGCCACAAGAGGAGGTTTTCCTTTACAGAGACGAGATGCAGGCCAACTCGCCATATGCTGACTCAACTTTTCTGCTAGCTATAGAGCAGGACTAAACCAGGCATAATCTTTCAGGCTTATGACTTGTTTGAAAAGGTTTCTCTCAGTGTCTGACTGTGAGGTCTGGACAACATTTATCTAAAAAGTACGTGTACTCTCACATATTCTCACATATATCATGTATGTAGCCTACACTTTCACCACACAGATTCTGTGTTTGTGTTTGGATACGTTCTGTCTTGCTCCCAAGCAGTTCTGTAGTGTATTGTAGGGGCATATCCAGTGTTTACAAATGAGACTTTGTTTCAGTAATTAGTGATACAGTATATTACCATCAGATCCCTGGAGACAGGATGAGAAAAGGCTCTGAATTCACTGGAACTCACATATGAGAGAGGGATGGAGAGAGAGTGAGAGAAACAGAGAAAGAGAGAGATGAGGGAGGGAGAGCGATAGAGAGCGGGAGAGAGAGAGATGAGGGAGAGAGAGAGAGATAGATAGATGAGGGAGGGAGAGCAAGAGAGATCGGGAGAGAGAGAGAGAGAGGAGAGAAAGGGAGAGAGAGTAGGGAGAGATAGAGATGAGGGAGAGCGAGAGAGCGAGAGAGAGGGAAAGAGTGAGAGTGAGAGAGAGTGAGAGTGAGAGTGTGAGTGAGGAGAGAGAGAGAGAGAGAGAGAGAGAGAGAGAGGAGAGAGAGAGAGAGAGGAGAGAGAGAGAGGATGAGAGGAGGAGAGAGAGAGAGAAAGTGAGAGTAAGAGTGAGAGGAAAGAGGGAGAGAGGGAGGGAGGGATGGGGACAGACTATGACCAGTGAGATTATCTACTGAGGTTCAGATAAAGGATTGATTGAAAACTTTTCCAGAGGGGAAGGGAAATAGTTTCACCCAGCTGAACATGGGGATCTTTTATATAGCGACAGTAGAATACAGATAGACCAGTGTTGCTGCTTCTTGCATGTTTAACTGCACTCTGATAAATGGCTTTCTGGGGACAGGATAGGGACAGTATATCATTATATGACTGTCATTCATCATCTTGATCAAAGGGCCAGCTCACTGTGACATTTCATAAATATACAGTAGAACAATAGATCAGAGTGCTGCCACATCTACAATAAATAAGTATGAAGGGACCATTCATGACCATACTGCCACTTCTACACTGAATCATTATGAAGGGACCATTCAGGACCATACTGCCACTTCTACACTGAATCATTATGAAGGGACCATTCATGACCATACTGCCACTTCTACACTGAATCATTATGAAGGGACCATTCAGGACCATACTGCCACTTCTACACTGAATCATTATGAAGGGACCATTCATGACCATTACTGCCACTTCTACACTGAATCATTATGAAGGGACCATTCATGACCATACTGCCACTTCTACACTGAATCATTATGAAGGGACCATTCATGACCATACTGCCACTTCTACACTGAATCATTATGAAGGGACCATTCATGACCATACTGCCACTTCTACACTGAATCATTATGAAGGGACCATTCATGGACCATACTGCCACTTCTACACTGAATCATTATGAAGGGACCATTCATGACCATACTGCCACTTCTACACTGAATCATTATGAAGGGACCATTCAGGACCATACTGCCACTTCTACACTGAATCATTATGAAGGGACCATTCAGGACCATACTGCCACTTCTACACTGAATCATTATGAAGGACCATTCAGGACCATACTGCCACTTCTACACTGAATCATTATGAAGGGACCATTCAGGACCATACTGCCACTTCTACACTGAATCATTATGAAGGGACCATTCAGGACCATACTGCCACTTCTACACTGAATCATTATGAAGGGACCATTCAGGACCATACTGCCACTTCTACACTGAATCATTATGAAGGGACCATTCAGGACCATACTGCCACTTCTACACTGAATCATTATGAAGGGACCATTCAGGACCATACTGCCACTTCTACACTGAATCATTATGAAGGGACCATTCAGGACCATACTGCCACTTCTACACTGAATCATTATGAAGGGACCATTCAGGACCATGCACATATTCCAAGTTGTATTTTGGAGCTCAAACACAAAAGCAGTCCCCACACAGCATGGACTCCATGCAGGATTTGTAGTCAGTCCCATGGGTCTTGGCCTAACGGCTATTTGAAATACAATAATGAAACGTAATCTTTATAGAAGTTATAGTCCTGATAGCAGTTTTAATGTGGCAGTTATACATAGTTCCACAGAAACGGCACCAGATGTGAGAGTCTGGACAGGAGACAGAAATGAGACTCCATATTTTCCCTTGGTCCCTTTGTGCGTCACGTTACGTACCACATGCTGATTCAGGGAAATGATAGAGAACACATTTAGAAAGTAGTCATTATCAACCACAGCTCTGGAGTATCTAACAGCCAGCCTCTCCTCCACACTGTTGCAAAAGGCCTCACAACAATCATGTGCAGTGAACAATGGCCAGATATTTCAGATGGACATGTGACTCGTACATGGAGGGCCGGTTTCCCTGACCCATACTAGTCCTATTCCTGGACTAAAAAGTCATTTCAGTAGAGATTCATCTGGGTCCATGAACCCATGGCCCTGAGAACCCTAATAACTCACTCCAGTCTTCTGAAAGACCAGAATACAACACTTCATTGTCCTCCAAGGAGGAAATTCTTCACACAAATTACACAAACAAATGAAAGGAAGACAAGCTAGGTTGGCTCATAGCTTACCTTTGCTCTTGCAGTCCAGCATGGGTTTGGGGAACATGTAGGTGTGGCACAAGGAGTTGGCATCAGGGTGCTTCTTGATGGGAGGGGGTTTGGGCAGACTATCCTGCCCCTCCTGAGGTTTCTGCCCTGGCTGCTGGCCCTCCCCATCCTCAGGACACACCAGCTCCGGCCTCATCTTCTTCAGCTTCTGACCTCTCAGAGCGTCCGGCTCAGAACACTTGGCGTAGTTCCCTAGGTTACGGTTGCTGGGCACCTGCAGGGTCCTGACCAGGCTATCCAGCGAGCACCGGCAGTCCCAGGGGTTATCATAGAGACGCAGGTAGCGGAGGCTTGGCAAGGGGAGCAGGTGCTCCTCAGAAGCTGTCTTCATCTTGTTATGCTGAAGAAGCAGAGTAGTGAGCTGGCCCAGCCCTGCGAACGCCCCCTCCTCCACCATGTAGATCTCATTCTGTTGTAGATCCAGACTCTTTAGGATCTTGAACTGGGAGAAGGTGTTGTCTCTGAGCACCTGGATCTTGTTGCGGGCCAGCAGGAGGTGGTGGATGTCTTCAGGCCAGTGCTGTTGCACCCCGGTCAGCTGGCGGTCCTGACAGTCCAGGTATTTCTCTCCAGCCTCCATGTATTCCTTGCATTCAGAGGTTTGACGTTTGACAGCATTGGCTCTGCCTTTACCCCGGGCCATGCCCCGGTCTCTGTTCCGTCCACCCTTCCTGGGCTCAGCAGAACTGAGGAGCAGGAGGAGCAGCAGAGCGCTGAGCAGCCGCATCCTGGGAGCTCCAACGATACCTCTGGGAAGACGGTGGAGTGGCAAGACTGGAAGAAGAGGGAGGGAGGAGGAGGAGAGGGATGCCTGTGTGTAATCAGAGATGGCCTTGGGTTTCTGCTGTGTCAGGGAAGGCTGACAGCTGTGAGAGAGAGAGAGAGAGAGAGAGAGAGAGAGAGAGAGAGAGAGAGGTGGAGAGTTCGTTGTCCGAGAGGAGAGGGATAGGATGAGATAGAGAGGAAGAAAGGGAGAAGAGGAATGATGGAGAGGAACATACATATTATGTTATATGATAGTCTATCAAACAGAGAGATGGTTAAAACACAGTCAAAGAACAGTGACCCATTTCCTTTGTTCCTCAGTTTTCTCTCCTCTCCTCTGTCTTCCTCTCCTCCTAACTGAAACCTGGTGGCGGTCTGCTCTTTTATACAGTCTTTGTTTGTGTTTTTTTTCTCTCTCTCTCGGCATGGGAAACGTATGTTAACATTGCCAAAGCAAGTGAAGTAGATAGTAAACATTTACATTTTAGTCATTTAGCAGACACTCTTATCCAGAGCAACTTACAGGAGCAATTAGGGTTAAGTGCCTTGCTTAAGGGCACATCGACAGATTTTTCACCTTGTTGGCTCGGGGATTAGAACCAGCGACCTTTCAGTTACTGGCACAACGCTCTTACCCACCAAGCTACCTGCCGCCCAAAAGCGAAATAAACAATACATATTAACAGTAAACATTACACTCAAAGTTCCAAAAGAATAAAGACATTTCAAATGTCATATTATGTATATATACAGTGTTGTAACAATGTGCAAATAGTTAAAGTACAAATGGGAAAATAAATAAACATAAATATGGGTTGTATTTACAATGGTGTTTGTTCTTCACTGGTTGCACTTTTCTTGTGGCAACATGTCACAAATCTTGCTGCTGTGATGGCACACTGTGGTTTTTCAACCAGTAGATAAGGGAGTTTATCAAAATTGGGTTTGTTTTCTAATTCTTTGTGGATCGCTGTAATCTGAGAGAAATATGTGTCTCTAATATGGTCATACATTTGGCAGGAGGTTAGGAAGTGCAGCTCAGTTTCCACCTCATTTTGTTGGCAGTGTGCACATAGCCTGTCTTCTCTTGAGAGCCAGGTCTGCCTATGGCGGCCTTTCTCAATAGCAAGGCTATGCTCACTGAGTCTGTACATAGTCAAAGCTTTCCTTAAGTTTGGGTCAGTCACAGTGGTCAGGTATTCTGCCACTGTGTACTCTCTGTTTAGGGCCAAATAGCATTCTAGTTTGCTCAGTTTTTTTGTTAATTCTTTCCAATGTGTCAAGTAATTATCTTTTTGTTTTCTCATGATTTGGTTGGGTCTAATTGTGTTGTTGTTGTTGTTGTCGTCCTGGGGCTCTGTTTGTGTTTGTGAACAGAGCCCCAGGACCAGCTTGCTTAGGGGACTCTTCTCCAAGTTCATCTCTCTGTATGTGAAGGCTTTGTTATGGAAGGTTTGTGAATCGCTTCCTTTGAAGTGGTTATATAATATATATGTTGAAGAGGGTGGGGCTTAAACTCTCTCTCTCTCCTCTCTCTCTCTCTCTCTCTCTCTCTCTCTCTCTCTCTCCTTCTCTCTCTCTCTCTCTCTCTCTCCTCTCTCTCTCTCTCTCTCTCTCTCTCTCTCTCTCTCTCTCTCTCTCTCTCTCTCTCTCTCTCTCTCTCTCTCTCTCGTCAGTAATTCATCTGTGCACCAGGCTGAAAGCCTTGCAAACAATCATCAAAGAGGAGGAAGTTTACATGTCTGTGTACGTCCACAGAAACATAACGGCTGCAAAGACCTCCCTAACTACCTTACCCTCAGGGAAGGCTGTGTGTAGTTGAATGGAATTTATTATCACTGGTGTAATAGGTTAGTGTTGATGATGTGCCTTGAATACTCTGTATTGATCCTTAATGATCATGTATATATTTGTTCTTCATATTTATGCCATTCAAATGTGGTTCCCAGGAAATACTCTATTCTACCAGGAAAAACATCTCAATAATATCTTACTCATGACAACAGTCATTTCTCATGTTAAACTGTATTTATTAGTCCAATCCAGGTTGCAGTACAGTGAAACAGAGGAAATATTAATCCACTTTCGTGGTTTAGCAATATTGACAAACCTAGCTCAACGCGATGTAGCAGTGTGTCTGGCTCTGCTTGCTGTGTGTGTGTGTGTGTGTGTTTTCACCCCCTCCAGCGATGGGCCTGTACAGTATTGACTCATTAGTTCCCAGTGTGATGTGAAGCATCAGCCACAATGTCTGCCAAACATCACCCCCATCTTCTGCTACAGTGAGCCAATCCAACTGTGTCACCCCCCTCCCACACACACACAGCCTTCCACAATGGAACAGTCCATTCACAGGGAGAGATGGAGAAGAGGTAGTGTAAACATTGAGTTTACAGACACAATTTAGAGAAGTCTTCAGTCTGAGAGCACTTTGCCCTATAGTATATCCTGGCACGCTAACACGCAGCAAAGCTACAATAGTGAGAGCTTATTTGAGATCTCAATCCACCAGTCCACTGTATCCACTCCCTTAGTGACAATATGAAAACAAGAGACCTGTGGGTATTTAATCTGCTCCCTGAAAATAAACCATTATAACACAAAAAATAATACTGATGAGATGACTGCCATCTAGGGCCATTTAGACAGTTGGTTGTAAGTTAGTCTCTCTCTATGTAAGCACTGTTAGCGCCCGGCAGTGCCTCTGCCAGTGTAAACACCCACACTCTCCAATATGGAGTGCACATGGCGAAGCTTTGGGCCTCCAACCCCCTCGTCTACCCAGCTCTGGCCCAGTTCCGTGCCCAACCCAGCGCAATGAGCCAAGTAAAGCCCCCCCCCCAGTAATTGAAATCTGAAAAATCTATGCAATTACCTACTGTTATGGATACAGGTATCCTGTGTGTGCTTTTGTGTTTTTCCTCTCCTTCTGCCCTAATCACAGGTGTCCTTTGTGTTCCTGATTGGTGGTCGTTGGGGTGTCCCACCTGTCCGACATCCGTTTGTCTGCTGATTGCTGAGGTGGACCAATCAGTGGACATTCCTCTGCATTGCATCACCTGTTTCTGGTTTTTCACTCACATCACACATCCCATTGTTTTAAAAGCCAGTCAGTTGTGTTTGTTGGAAGAGACTATTTTTGTATGTGAGTATGGATACTGTGGTGTCCTGTTTTTTTTGTGTACTCACTCATTTGCTGGTTACTCTGTATGGTACTGTGTTGTGTGTTTCTGGGAAAAGGGGGATTTAGCAAGTTGCCCTTGGGCATACATTACCCGTAGGAAGAACATTGTCTAAAAACACTAGTTAGACCTGAGCGGACCACCCACTGTATTTTTGTATGGTTAGCAGTAGCTTAGTGGTTCTTGAGGCAGGCAAGATCAGTTTAGTTTTTTTAAACATTATTGTTTCATTCCTTGGGTCCTGCTCAGCCCTTTTTCCCAAACCTTTACCGTGTGTTCAAAATAAAAATGTGATGTTTGATGGTAGCTTATGGTTGTCGGTGTATTTTTTGTTCTCACTGTTTCCATGTCACGATTCTAATTTGCATGAATTGTTACGGGTCTCTTTTCCATCCACCCTAGACTTTTAAAGCCACGGGGTTCGTAACACCTACCCATGTGTCCAGTGTAGGGAGTAGCTGTGTAAAACCATGTAGCAGCAGTAGTGAGTAATGTAATGGCCTGCACTGTAATGAATTGGCCAACCTCCATCCCAGACCGTTTCCCTGTGGTAATAATCGGATGCTATACAACTGTAGCTGGAGCAGCAGCCAGACATCAGGCATGCTGGTCAAAGTGCAAATGGGCGGATGAACCGACCGACACAATCTGAGGGCCTTGAGGAGTGAGACTAATGCACAGTACAGCTAGAGAGCTGGGGCTAAGCGGCGGCTGGAGAAACCAGTGTGATGCTGCTGATAGATTTAACGGAGACAGCTGGGGTCACACAGGCTCCAACACAACACACACAACACTGACCAATAGGAGGCAGACCACGCTGTGTGGGCTGAGCTGTCTAGGAAAGCATATGCTGTCCAACCAAGGTGCATGAACTGAGGAATGCAGTTGATGTGCAAGACCAGCAAACACACAACCACGTTGTCTCAACGTTAACTCCACGTTGTTGGTTTATTCTACGCTGTAGGTAGTTACCCTAGCAGGACCTGGATGGACCAGTGGACAGGCTTATTACAGCACCAGCCAGCCTTACAGATACAGTGCACGGTGGCTGCCTACACAGCCTGTCTCTCAATGCTTCACTAACACAGAACAGGGCACTGGGGATGGAAAGAGGGAAAATCAACCCCCTTAGGAAGTGGTGCAGAACACAAGGACTGTTCTGTACAGGAGTAATTCTTTTTTAATTTCCCCTCCACCCCGCTGCCGCCCAAACCAAACTCATTCCGACCGTGACCTGATCTGATCTGAGTTTCCATTCAGGTTCCCTGAGGTGTTCAGTCAGTGTGCCCTGGAGTAGACTGTGGCTGCATCCCAAATGGCACCCTATTCCCCACGTAGTGCACTACTTTTGACCAGAGCCCTATGGGCATTTGGGAGGCAGACTGAGTCTGTATCTGTTCCCCACAGCACAATCCTCAGAGAACACTTACACAGCATGGAGCACTAATTAAAACACTTGAACTCACTCTCACAGTCAAGCAGGGGGGAAGTTTTTAAAATAAATACATGTGAAATTGTATTTATCAGAGGGACCATTGAAAGCTCCATGTTATTCTTGCTCTTCCAGAGAATAGTGAAGAAAGAGGGAGAGGGAGCTTAAAAACAAGAGAAAACAAGCCAATTGATTCCCTCACTGCTGAAGTTACACAGTGCTTCATGTGGTGTGTCCCCTCTTGGCTTTAGGGTCGCATTCCGACCCCCAGAGAGAACACTCCAACTGAAACATGCAGCACAGAGCACTAATCCTTTAAAACCTTCAGTATGGGGCCTCCCGAATGGTGTCACTACAGACCCGGGTTCGATCCCGGGCTGTGTCATAACTGGCCGTGATCGAGAGCCCCATAGGGCTACGCACAATTGGCCCAGCGTCGTCCGGGTTTGGCCGGGGGGGCTTTACTTGGCTCATCGCGCTCTTGGGGTGGGCCGGGGGCCTGCATGCTGACCTCGGTCGTCAGGTGAAAGGTGTTTCCTCCAATACATTGGTGCGGCTGGCTTCCGGGTTAAGCAGGCGGGTGTTAAGAGCGGTTTGGCGGGTCATGTTTCGAAGGACGCATGACTCGACCTTCGCCTCCCAAGCCCGTTGGGGAATTGCAGCAATGAGACAAGATCGAAATTCGTGAGAAAAAGGGGATACATTTTTTTTACAATTAAAACCTTCAGTATGATACTCTACCACACTCTTTCTCTCAGTTGCTCCTGTTTCAGAAAACTGGTGTTTCAGAAAGTGCCCTGAAGCCTTGAACTCAGTGTTATTATCTAAAGAAAGAAACTGTGACAGGGGATGTTTACCAGAGCCCTGTTCCTCACAGCATTCCCAGAGGGAGAGAGTATGGTGATTGCATTGGAATGCAGCCAGAGACATGTACACCTCAAGTGCACATACACTTCTCTTCTTGCAAGATACATTTTCCACTTAAGAAAAAAGGCAACAGCTTAAATTGCAAAATGTCCCTAAAAAAAGGAATCAATTGGCAATGAGTGCAAGCATGCATGTCTAAAACCTCTTACAGTGCAGAATTCTGTGCTGTTCTGTTCACTTCTGGAAAGTGCTGCTACTGCCCATTCTAGTACAGTAAATCTCCATTACACTACTGGCTGCCTTCAGCACTGTCACTGTACTACTGTAACAGAGGAAACAGAACACACACACAGAGAGAGAGAGGTTCTGGTACCTGGCCACAGGGAGAGGGAGAGGCTGATGGGTCCACTGGGTCCTCCACTAGGGCTCTGGTCGGTCCTGCATCCCCTGCTCTTTGTCCTGTCATGGAGGGCTGAGCCGGACCCTGGAAGTCTGCCTGCTTAGCCTGCCTGCCTCTCCTGCCTGCCTCTCAGGCTGTGAGGGGGCTCTCTGTGTGCAGAGAGGCTCAGTCAGGCTGCGTCTGGTATTAAATTACACACTACACAGTTCCTCTGCTCTGTTCTGTGCAGACAGGCGAGGAGGAGAGAAACCCGTCTCCAGTGTTGAGTAACTGGCCCGCCTCCAGCCCAGCTCCTAGCCTGTCCTCGTAGAGTGTCAGGCTGTTGGAGGAGGAGGAGGAAGAAGCTCACAAATAACAGATAAAGTCCTGGCAGGAGTTTTCCAAAATAGCCTTTTCCCAAACATCTGACTTAGATCTGGAAGTTAGGGTCAGATGTTTTATCTCACTAACAGATATCATTCAGTCATGTAATAATAATGCAATATGTTTGTGGACATCAATCTTATAATTCTGGTGTACACTCTGATATCTATAACCTTAAAGGGTTATTCAGCTGTCCCCATTGGAGAACCCTTTGAATAACCCATTTTGGTTCGAGATAGAACCCTTTTGGTTCCAGGTAGAACCCTTTTCACAGAGGAACCCTTTTGGAACCCTTTTTTCTAAGAGTGTAGATAAATGACTTACTACCATACTGTAATTACTACTGAATGTTAATGATTACTCTGACCTGCCTGCTGCAAACCGTTGGAATTTATGTTTTGCTAATTTATTAAAAGTAAAAAACAGAAATATTACATTTACATAAGTTTTCAGACCCTTTACGCAGTACTTTTTATGAAGCACCTTTGACAGTGATTACAGCCTCGAGTCATCTTGGGTATGATGCTACAAGCTTGGCATACCTGTATTTGGGGAGTTTCTCCCATTCTTCTATGTAGATCCTCTCAAGCTCTGTCAGGTTAGATGGGGAGCGTTGCTGCACAGCTATTTCCAGGTCTCTCCAGAGATGTTCGATCGGGTTCAAGTCCGGGCTCTGGCTGGGCCAGTCAAGGACATTCAGAGACTTGTCCCGAAGCCACTCCTGCGTTATCTTGGCTGTGTGCTTAGGGTCGTTGTCCTGTTGGAAGGTGATCCTTCGCCCCAGTCTGAGGTCCTGAGTGCTCTGGAGCAGGTTTTCATCTTTGCCTCGATCATGACTAGTCTCCCAGTCCGTGCTGCTGAAAAACATCCCCACAGCATGATGCTGCCACCACCATGCTTCACCGTAGGAATGGTGCCAGGTTTCCTCCAGAAGTGACGCTTGGCATTCAGGCCAAAGAGTTCAATCTTGGTTTCATCAGACCTTGTTTCTCATAGTTTGAGAGTCCTTTAGGTGCCTTTGGCAAACTCCAAGCGGGCGGTCATGTGCCTTTTACTGAGGAGTGGCTTCCATCTGGCCTCTCTACCATAAAGGCTTGATTGGTGGAGTGCTGCAGAGATGGTTGTCCTTCTGGAAGGTTCTTCACAGAGGAACTCTAGAGCTCTGTCAGAGTGACCATAGGGTTCTTGGGCACCTCCCTGACCAAGGCCCTTCTCCCCCGATTGCTCAGTTTGGCCAAGCTGCCAGCTTTGGGAAGAGTCTTGGTGCTTCCAAACTTCTTCCATTTAAGAATGATGGAGGCCACTGTGTTCTTGGTAACCTCAATGCTGCAGAAATGTTTTGGTACCCTTCTCCAGATCTGTGCCTCAACACAATCCTGTCTCTATGCTCTACGGACAATTTCTTCAACCTCATGGCTCGGTTTTTGCTCTGACATGCACTGTCAACTGTGGGATCTTATATAGACAGGTGTGTGCCATTCCAAATCATGTCCAATCAATTGAATTTACCACAGGTGGAGTCCAATCAAATTGTAGAAACATCTCAAGGATGATCAATGGAAACAGGATGCACCTGAGCTGAATTTTGAGTCTCACAGCAAAGGCTCTGAATACTTATGAAAATAAGGTATTTATGTTTCATATTTTTAATAGATTTGCTACAATTCTGAAGACCTGGTTTTGCTTTGTCATTATGGGGTATTATGTGTAGATTGCTGAGGATAAAACAAAACAAAAATCTGAATATTTTCCGAAGGTACTGTGTACCTCCTGAAACAGAAACAGAGCAGGCTGGCAGGCTCCTTCAGGCATAGTTTTATGGATAACATGAGTCGGCTGCTAATGAACATATGACACACACACTGCCTGCCTGCCTCTCAGGCTGTGAGGGGCCTCTCTGTGTGCTGCGTTGGGTATTAAATTACACACTGCACACAGTTCTTCTGCTCTGTTCTGTGCAAACAGGCAGGCAGGTGAGGAGGAGAGAAACCTGCGTCTCCAGTGTTGAGTAACAGGCCCACCTCCAGCCCAGCTCCTAGCCTGTCCTGTAGTCATAGAGTGTCAGACTGTTGGAGGAGGAGGAGGAGGAGGAGGAGGAGGAGGAGGAGGAGGAGGAGGAATAAGCTCACAAACAACCGATAAAGTAATTACTACTGAATGTTAATGATTACTCAGACCTGCCTGCTGCAAACTGTTGGAATTTATGAGAGTATAAGCCCACAGGTACTGTGTACCTCCTGAAACAGAAACAGAGCAGGCTGGCAGTCTCCTTCAGGCATAGTTTTATGGATAACATGAGTCAGCTGCTAATGAACATATGACACACACATACAGTGGGGAAAAAAAGTATTTAGTCAGCCACCAATTGTGCAAGTTCTTCCACTTAAAAGGATGAGAGAGGCCTGTAATTTTCATCATAGGTACATGTCAACTATGACAGACAAATTGAGGGAAAAAAATCCTGAAAATCACATTGTAAGATTTTTTATGAATTTATTTGCAAATTATGGTGGAAAATAAGTATTTGGTCACCTACAAACAAGCAAGATTTCTGGCTCTCACAGACCTGTAACTTCTTCTTTAAGAGGCTCCTCTGTCCTCCACTCGTTACCTGTATTAATGACACCTGTTTGAACTTGTTATCAGTATAAAAGACACCTGTCCACAACCTAAAACAGTCACACTCCAAACTCCACTATGGCCAAGACCAAAGAGCTGTCAAAGGACACCAAAAACAAAATTGTAGACATGGTCCAGGCTGGGAAGACTGAATCTGCAATAGGTAAGCAGCTTGGTTTGAAGAAATCAACTGTGGGAGCAATTATTAGGAAATGGAAGACATACAAGACCACTGATAATCTCCCTCGATCTGGGGCTCCACGCAAGATCTCACGCCGTGGGGTCAAAATGATCACAAGAACGGTGAGCAAAAATCCCAGAACCACACGGGGGGACCTAGTGAATGACCTGCAGAGAGCTGGGACCAAAGTAACAAAGCCTACCATCAGTAACACACTACGCCGCCAGGGACTCAAATCCTGCAGTGCCAGACGTGTCCCCCTGCTTAAGCTAGTACATGTCCAGGCCCGTCTGAAGTTTGCTAGAGTGCATTTGGATGATCCAGAAGAGGATTGGGAGAATGTCATATGGTCAGATGAAACCAAAATATAACTTTTTGGTAAAAACTCAACTCGTCGTGTTTGGAGGACAAAGAATGCTGAGTTGCATCCAAAGAACACCATAACCACTGTGAAGCATGGGGGTGGAAACATCATGCTTTGGGGCTATTTTTCTGCAAAGGGACCAGGAAAGAATGAATGGGGCCATGTATCGTGAGATTCTGAGTGAAAACCTCCTTCCATCAGCAAGGGCATTGAAGATGAAACGTGGCTGGGTCTTTCAGCATGACAATGATCCCAAACACACCGCCCGGGCAACGAAGGAGTGGCTTCGTAAGAAGCATTTCAACATCCTGGAGTGGCCTAGCCAGTCTCCAGATCTCAACCCCATAGAAAATCTTTGGAGGGAGTTGAAAGTCCGTGTTGCCCAGCGACAGCCCCAAAACATCACTGCTCTAGAGGAGATCTGCATGGAGGAATGGGCCAAAATACCAGCAACAGTGTGTGAAAACCTTGTGAAGACTTACAGAAAACGTTTGACCTGTGTCATTGCCAACAAAGGGTATATAAGAAAGTATTGAGAAACTTTTGTTATTGACCAAATACTTATTTTCCACCATAATTTGCAAATAAATTCATAAAAAATCCTACAATGTGATTTTTTTGATTTTTTTTTCTCATTTTGTCTGTCATAGTTGACGTGTACCTATGATGAAATTTACAGGCCTCTCTCATCTTTTTAAGTGGGAGAACTTGCACAATTGGTGGCTGACTAAATACTTTTTTTCCCCACTGTACACACACACACACACCGGCCATCATTAAAATGTGTTGTGGAGTGTTCTGTAAGCCCTTTTGATGTGTCTAGTTCCAATGTGGGACTAACAAGGAGCTGTTACTGGACTGTTGATCCTCCTACTGTGAACAGCAGCTAGATACAGTACTACCACTATACTATACTACTACACACTGAGAGAAACACTGGAAGCTGCCTAATGTTTATGCGCAGAATGAATCTCAAGGCAGCAAAACACAAACTCCCATACTCTGCAGCCAGGCAGTGGTGAAAGTAAGCTAGATTCCCATCTCCCATTCAGAAACAGCAGAATGCTGTACTTAGCTCTGTGTTTTATGACCCGTATGTGCCACGCAGGGTGGTGATCGACTTCATCCTCAACAGCCATCTACGTTAAACTGCTATGCTCACCTTAATTAATGTCCTCTGTGTCCTGAGGATGAAGACCTTGTAGGAAAAGGAAATAACGTTCCTCTCAGTGCGTCTCCTGAAAAAGGGGAAAGAAGAGAGAGAGCCGGAGGAGCGAGAGTGAGCGAGGGAGAGGAGAGAGAGAAGAGAGGAGGAGAGAGAGAATAGAGGCGAGAGAGAAGCGAGAGGAAAGCGCGGACCAAGACAAAAGAACGCACCGAAAAAAGCGAACGAGCCAGAAAAAAACAACGCGAGCCCGCCCGAAAAGAGAGAAAACACTCTAACAGATCATAAAGATACCCGCCCAATCCAGCGCACTGAGTAGATTCCCATCCCCTCCCTCTCTCCCCCTCTCTCCCCCTCGTCTCGTCTCCCTCTCCCCCCCCCCCCCCCCCCCCCCCTCTCGCCTCTCCAGATAACGATACTGAAGCTCTTGGTGGAATAGAGCACATCGCCATGGGTAGCCTGGGTATCCTGGAATCCACACTACGTATTGCTTTGTTTCACTATTCATTGTGGCTTCCAGGCTATGGAGAGTGGGGGCCCAGCTTGACTACCCAGCATCGTTGACTCTCTGCTTACCATATTGTACTGTACGTTCTGAGGAAGTCATTCTCTACCTAGAGCCCGAGCAGGCTTCAGCACATGGAGCTGGGGTCTATGAAGCTTGGGGTATACAGAAGCTTGGAGCTTGGGGTATACAGAAGATAGCCCCATTTGGTAAAAGACCAAGTCCATATTATGTCAAGAACAGCTCAAATAAGCAAAGAGAAACAACAGTCCATCATTACTTTAAGACATGAAGGTCAGTCAATACGGAACATTTGAAGAACTTTGAAAGATTTTTGGTTCCAACCACCGTGTCTTTGTGAGACACGGTGTGGGTGAACAGATGATCTCTGTATGTGTATTTCCCACCGTAAAGCATGGAGGAGGAGGTGTTATGGTGTGGGGGTGCTTTGCTGGTGACACTGTCTGTGATTTATTTAGAATTCAATGCACACTTAACCAGCATGGCTACCACAGCAATCTGCAGTGATACAGCATCCATCTGGTTTGGGTTTAGTGGGGCTATATCAATTGTTTTTCAACAGGACAATGACCCAACACACCTTCAGGCTGTGTAAGGGCTATTTTACCAAGAAGGAGAGTGATGGAGTGCTGCATCAGATGACCTGGCCTCCACAATCCTCCGACCTCAACCAAATTGAGATGGTTTGGGATGAGTCTGACCGCAGAGTGAAGGAAAAGCAGTCAACAAGTGCTCAGCATATGTGGGAACTTCTTCAAGACTTTTGGAAAAGCATTCCAGGTGAAGCTTGTTGAGAGAATGCCAAGAGTGTGCAAAGCTGTCATCAAGGCAAATGGTGGCTATTTGAAGAATCTGAAATAAAAAATATGTTTTTATTTGTTTAACACTTTTTTGGTTACTACATGATTCCATATGTGTTGTTTCATAGTTTTGATGTCTTCACTATTATTCTACAATGTAAAAAATAGTAAAAATAAAGAAAAACCCTTGAATGAGTAGGTGTGTCCAAACTTTTGACTGGTACTGTACATTTTACATTTTAGTCATTTAGGCAGACGCTCTTATCCAGAGCGACTTAGTTAGTGCAGTCATCTTAAGATAGCTAGGTGGGACAACCACATATCACAGTCAAAGTAAGGTACATTGTTTCCTACGTAAAGTAGCTATCAGCAGACTCAGAGCTAGTAAGGGGGAAAGACTCTCTTCTCAAAGGATCAGGTTTTGTGAACTTTTCTTTTTAGGGCAGGTGTCTTGACATTGATTTAAGAAGGTGAAGATGAGAACCTAACAGTTTATCTTGAGTGCAGTTTTACAATACTCTGGTGTTTTTCTGCTTGAGTGGAATTTACATTGATTTGATCATTTAAAATCCCAACCTATAAGAGATATGCATTTAAATTAGCAATATGTCACATCTCACAGGTTCCATAGCTTTCCTAAGAAAAATATGTCCCAACCAGAACGCTTAAACAGTCCATTGTTTGAAATATGAAGCTTTTGATTTAGTATATGGATACTAGACTGTATTTTACCGAAACATGTTTTTTGTGTTAGCTTTCCTCACAGTTTCTCAGGCTTTTTCACTTGGCTTTCTTCCACATGCAGCGGATTGGAAAGACATTGTTTCTGTAATGTTGGAAAAGATGCAGGACTGACATGGGGACGCAATCAACTCAGACAAACTGCCTCTGTTATTAACCATCTGTTATATGTCTATAAAACCGACAATTAATACAATGATAGCCGACTCTGTATGCCACTACAATCGTATACTGTAACTACTGGTTTGAGGCAGGTTTGAAGCCTTTGATTAAGAATTACATTTCTCTCTAATCTCAAGAGGAGGTCCAGAGGAGTGATGTAACCATGGAAGCATGCTTGGGTGGACACATTTCTCCCTTGAAAATGAGTTCAGCACAACCTTGACAACCTTCCGCCACTACATCAGACAAACCCTGCTGGCCTGAGGAGATAAATATACATTTATGAAACGATCAAGTCCCAAATGGCACCTTATTCCCTATATAGTGCAATACCTTTGACCAGGACTCATACACTCTTAGAAAAAAAGGTGCTATCTATTTTATTTATTTGTATTTTTTATTTATAGTCATTTAGCAGACACTCTAGAACCTTAAAGGGTTCTTCTGCTGTCCCCACAGGATAACCCTTTGAAGAACCTTTTTTGGTTCAAGGTAGAACTCTTTTGGTTCCAGGTAGAACCTTTTTGGGTTCCATGTCGAACCCTTTCCATGGAGGGTTCTACATGGAACCAAAAAGGGTTCTACCTGGAACCAAAAAGGGTGCTCCTACGGGGACAACCGAATAACTATTTTGGAATCAATTTTTTAAGAGTGTATGGCTCTTGTCAAAGGTAGTGCACTATATCGGGAGCTATTTGGAACATACACCAAATTACTTTGATCGACTACTATTCGACTCTGGGAATGTCTATTTTTTTTAAATGATGGGAGACACATTTTATAACATGTCTTTGCTGTTATTTACATTTTAGTCATTTAGCAGACGCTCTTATCCAGAGCGACTTACAGTGAGTGCATACATTTTTCATACTGGCCCCCCGTGGGAATCGAACCCACAACCCTGCCGTTGCAAGCGCCATGCTCTACCAACTGAGCTACAAGAGGCCTGTTATCTGTCTGTGTAAGGTAGGGAGGAATAGACAGACATATGTGTAGGCCAGTGAAATAACAGATGTTACCTTACTCTTCCTCCCAGAGGTCTGCAGTGCTGATAGAGGAAACTCTAGCCAACACAGGCGGCTGGTGGCACCTTAATTGGGGAGGACGGGCTCATAGTGATGGCTGGATCGGAATTAATGGAATGGTATCGGACATATCAAACACACGTTTGCTACCATTCCATTGATTCCATTCCAGTCATTATTATGAGCCGTCCTCCCTTCACCAACCTCCTGTGCTAGCCAGTATAGCATCGCCGGAAATGTCCCTCGCTTATCTCATGTTGTTCAAAGGAAGTATTGTTTTTTGGAGTGCCCACAATTCCGGACAGTGGGTTGTTTTTTGTGGGGGATCTTTTGTTAATGCATGTGCTGTATGTTGTGCCATGAATGTGGAAGACTTGATTTAGCGAATAGTTTCTGTATGTGTTTATGATGTTTTGTCTTAATGTTGGCATTCAGGACTGATTATGTCTGTATGTGTATTCCTCAACTGTAGAGTCAGTCTTGTTGGGCCACAATGTTGTCTCTAATGCTTTTCATATGGACCTCAGGCAAGAGAGAAAGATGCCTTGGATAGAACGCTCATTTGAGTTAACCCTCCCGTTGTCCTAGGGTCAAAATGACCCGCCACTGTGTTAAACCAACTTTATTTAATTTTTATATTTTTTGGATCATTTGTGAGAAGGAGGCAGTGATACTTTCTGCCTCCTTCTCACAAATGATCCCAAAAATATAAAAATTAAATAAAGTTGGTTCAACACCGTGGCGGGTCATTTTGACCCTAGGACAACGGGAGGGTTAAATAAGCAATAATGTACTGCCGTGCTTCCAGGATGCATTCACTATAGAAGGGTTACAAAAAGGTTCTGTTTATTGCCACTGCATGAAGCGCTGAGCATTACACACATTGATACCACACACATTGGTACCACACACATTGATTATTGGAAGTCTTCTCATTGTTGGTAACACTACAACCAAGTAAATGGTAACATATTGTTGATGACACTACAACCAAGTAAATGGTAACATATTGTTGGTAACACTACAGTATAGTAAATGATAACATATTGTTGGTAACACTACAACCAAGTAAATGGTAACATATTGTTGGTAACACTACAGTATAGTAAATGGTAACATATTGTTGGTAACACTACAACCAAGTAAATGGTAACATATTGTTGGTAACACTACAACCAAGTAAATAGTAACATATTGTTGGTAACACTACAACCAAGTAAATGGTAACATATTGTTGATGACACTACAACCAAGTAAATGGTAACATATTGTTGATGACACTAAAACCAAGTAAATGGTAACATATTGTTGGTAACAGTACAGTATAGTAAATGGTAACATAATGTTGGTAACACTACAGTATAGTAAATGGTAACATAATGTTGGTAACACTACAGTATAGTAAATGGTAACATATTGTTGGTAACAGTACAGTATAGTAAATGGTAACATAATGTTGGTAACACTACAGTATAGTAAATGGTAACATAATGTTGGTAACACTACAGTATAGTAAATGGTAACATATTGTTGGTAACACTAAAGTATAGTAAATGGTAACATATTGTTGGTAACACTAAAGTATAGTAAATGGTAACATATTGTTGGTAACACTAAAGTATAGTAAATGGTAACATATTGTTGATGACACTACATTATAGTAAATGGTAACATATTGTTGATGACACATGTAAACATCACATCAATAAATCAAGGGAAACAGATAGAAAATGACATTACAAAGCAAATCACATCCCAAACTGCTAACAGAGCAGAAATACACAAGAACCCTAAGAAAGTTAGTCCATGAAATGTATAGCTGCAATTTCCTTCACATCATTACGCCCCTCCCTGTGTATATCTCTGTGGTTTATGGAACGCATTCAAATGGTATTTGGGCCCTCCTGGAGGGCATATAACTATCACGGCAGTCTCTCTCTCTCTGAGGTCAGATGGCCGCTCAGACAGGTCTGGAATCAGTTACAGGTTCCACTGTTTCCAGGGAGAATTCAGAACTTCATGACTGTTCCATTCTACTCTGTCTGTTCCACTCTGCTTCCACATTCTCTTGGCTGCGGAATCCATCACCACGACGACCCCCTGCCATCAACGAGACAGGGTGAGAGCCGTCCAGGGCCGATGATGTCATAATGGATGTGCGGAAAATCTTGCCCAACATGAGACTTCCCCGCAGACACAGAATGGTTTTAATTTAATTCACAACCACCAGGGCCTCTTTCTGCTGCTATTTTTATTATTACACATAATATGTTTTTATTTTTTTAAGATGCCCTCAGGACCAAGGTTGAGTCCAACCACACTTGGAATAAACCTTCTGGTTTCTTCAGAGAGACCGGCAGGCACTAATGTGGAATGACACAGGAGGTTCTAGCGACAGCAGGTTGTGGGCATACATGTACGTGTCCTGGCCTGCTCTGGACAGATGGAATTCTCTCCCATATTACATGGCTGTGAGGAACAAAGAAAACCGTTCACCAAACACTGATGTCAGAGATCAAGATGTTTGTGTGTGAGAGACCGTAAATAACAGGCCTGAACAACTCTCTGTTGAATGAAGTGTCTCTTCAAACTCATACTCTAATTGTTGCTTACAGGCATCACAGCCCAGATTGGTTTGTTATCATTTCAATCTATAGTTTCATTATCAAGAATCAGATCTCTCTAAACCTGGTCTGTTTTGTATTGCTCTGTGTGCACTGTTTCTCAACAACTGGTTCATCTAGTCCAGTGATGTGGGTCCCAGAGGGTCCCAGAGGGTCCCAGAGCAGAGATTTGAGAACCCCTGATCTAGTCTACACAACCAACTGTCTGAACTGGTAATCTAGTCTACACAACCAACTGTCTGAACTGGTAATCTAGTCTACACAACCAACTGTCTGAACTGGTAATCTAGTCTACACAACCAACTGTCTGAACTGGTAATCTAGTCTACACAACCAACTGTCTGAACTGGTAATCTAGTCTACACAACCAACTGTCTGAACTGGTAATCTAGTCTACACAACCAACTGTCTGAACTGGTAATCTAGTCTATACAACCAACTGTCTGAACTGGTAATCTAGTCTACACAACCAACTGTCTGAACTGGTAATCTAGTCTATACAACCAACTGTCTGAACTGGTAATCTAGTCAACACAACCAACTGTCTGAACTGGTAATCTAGTCTACACAACCAACTGTCTGCACTTTTCAAGTTCTTTGTCTGTGTGTGTTTTAGGGAAAGTATCCACTCTAGTTTGTGTCACTGTTACAAGAAAATCATGTCTGTTACCACGGCGGCCAGACATGAATATGACAAACCCGAAACAGCCGTACAACGACGACAGACAGTGTGGAAAAATATGACTGTTCTTCCATTAATGGTTAATTTAGGTATTTCTTTCTGAATGCTTATTTTACTCCGTGGTGTTGACACAGCTGTGTGGACTTGGAGTGGTGCTCTCGAGGATGTTGATGAAGCATTGTGACATGAGAAACCCTTTACTAGGCTGCCTTAAATCGATGTCCACGTTATCGGCGTCCAGGGAGCAGTTGTTGTAGGGGATGAACTGCCCTTCTCAAGGGCAGAACGGCAGATTTTTCCCACCTTGCCAGCTCGGGGATTGGACCTTTCCGTTACTAGCCCAACGCTCTGGCTACCTGCCGCCCCTGTCCTAAATCAGCTTTGTGTGTAAATGCACCAAGGCAATGAGATGCTCTTGGGACCATGATTAAACAAAGACACACTCCTACTTTATGGACTGTATCCTAACGCAGTAGGTCATTGTAACAACCATCATCATCAAGCCATAACGTTGTCATAACAACGGCATAATATATCCCATTACAACCATTGTGGTCCTCTGTAGCTCAGCTGGTAGAGCACGGCGCTTGTAACGCCAAGGTAGTGGGTTCGATCCCTGGGACCACCCATACACAAACATTTATGCACGCATGACTGTAAGTCGCTTTGGATAAAAGCGTCTGCTAAATGGCATATTATTATTATTATATTACAACATGTTATGACAATCTGTTGACTGGCCATGCAAGGAGCAGTAGGAGTCTTATACTTTTCTCCATGATGAGGAAATCTTGCCCTAATCCTGTTGAAAACCTGTTTAAAACGTCTCTGTCTTCTTCTGTGACAAGCTGAGAACTGTGTGAGTGGTGCTATTGATTCTCCTCCCTGCCCAGCCTAGACCCCCCTTCGTTCCTCTAGTAACATCCATGACATCCATGTCCGTCCGTCTAGACCGGTTCCTCCGACATCACTTCCTGTTGCTGGGCTTGTTTCCACACGTTGTAGCTGTAGGCAGCAGGATAATGGGGCACAGCGTCACACTGAGACGCGCTAATCAAAGGAGCCATCTGGTTCCTATTACCGGCTTTCAAATAACTCTCTCTGTCTCTCTTAACGTGCCCCATTATGCCTGGATGTGATAACAACATGGCTGCTTAGTTTCACCGGTGTTGAGATGGCATGGCACTGTGTGTAGATGTTATGGTGTGTGTTTGTCTGTGCGTGGGTCTGTGTCTGTGTGTTCTCTGCAGTTCTACAGGCTCCTGGGAGAAAGTCATTGTCCTCCTCAGAGGCATGGTTTGTTATTTTGTCCTATAAACATTAAAACATGACAACATGAAAACATTAAAGCATTAAAGCAGTGAAGTCACCATTGGGTAGATCTGTTACCATTCAAAGTGATTGAAACAGAAAGATGTAATGGACCACTTCAGATTTACTGTATTAGTTCTCCTTCCATTGATAAAATGGTGTAATCAGATGTAATCCTGAATGACATACCTCTATTGAATTAAAGCTGAGCATAAATTATTAATTCACTTTAATGTAAAAGCATAGAAGACCAACTATCAACACCCCTCCCCTTGTCTATCATTGGTGAATGACCCCACTGTCAACACCCCTCCCCTTGTCTATCATTGGTGAATGACCCCACTGTCAACACCTCCCCCTTGTCTATCATTGGTGAATGACCTTACTGTCAACACCTCCCCTTGTCTATCATTGGTGAATGACCTCACTGTCAACACCTCCCCCTTGTCTTTCATTGGTGAATGACCTTACTGTCAACACCTCCCCTTTGTCTTTCATTGGTGAATGACCTTACTGTCAACACCTCCCCTTGTCTTTCATTGGTGAATGACCTTACTGTCAACACCTCACCTTGTCTTTCATTGGTGAATGACCTTACTGTCAACACCCCTCCCCTTGTCTATCATTGGTGAATGACCACACTGTCAACACCTCCCCCTTGTCTATCATTGGTGAATGGCATTACTGTCAACACCCTCCCCTGTCTGTCATTTGGTGAATGACCTTGTCTGTCATTGGTGAATGACCTCACTGTCAACACCTCCCACGTGTCTATTATTGGTAAATGGCCTGACTGTCAACCCCCCCCCCCCCCCCCCCCCCCTGTCTGTCATTGGTGAATGAACTCACTGTCAACACCTCCCCCTTGTCTATCATTGGTGAATGACCTTACTGTCAACACCTCCCCTTTGTCTATCATTGGTGAATGACCTTACTGTCAACACCTCCCTTATGTCTATCATTGGTGAATGACCTTACTGTCAACACCTCCCCTTTGTCTTTCATTGGTGAATGACCTCACTGTCAACACCTCCCCTTTGTCTTTCATTGGTGAATGACCTTACTGTCAACACCTCCCCTTTGTCTATCATTGGTGAATGACCTTACTGTCAACACCTCCCTTATGTCTATCATTGGTGAATGACCTTACTGTCAACACCTCCCCTTTGTCTTTCATTGGTGAATGACCTTACTGTCAACACCTCCCCTTTGTCTATCATTGGAGGGTGACCTTACTGCCTGATGATTCGTTTTCAATGTTGCCATGACCCTGATGTTACAAGTCAATTACATTTTTACTATTTGTTTCTATAATTAGATATTTTATGGCGTTTTAGCTCTTATTTAAAAATAAATGGTCAATAAAAGTCCGAACAAATGAGTCTGTGGTGAATTACAGTGTTGTAGCGCCGTGCCACGTTGTACAGTGACTTTATTCATGTTGTCAGCTGTTTATGACTCTGTGCAGTAACACTCACACACAGACACACTCACTCACACACAATAACACACACACATCCCACACTCACGCACGCAGTCACACTCACAGACAGTCACACCCACACACTATAATATAATATATAATATGCCATTTAGCAGACGCTTTTATCCAAAGCGACTTAGTCATGCATGCATACATTAATTTATTTTTTTGTGTATGGGTGGTCCCGGGGATCGAACCCACTACCTTGGCGTTACAAGCGCCGTGCTCTACCAGCTGAGCTACAGAGGACACAATTACACTCACAGACACAGTCACACTCACAGACAGTCACACCCACACACAGTCACACTCAGTCACATTCACACACAGTCACACTCACAGACACAGTCTCACTCACAGACCCAATCACGCTCACAGACAGTCATACTCACAGACAGTCACACTCACACACAGTCTCACTCACAGACACAGTCACAGTCACATAAAGTCACACTCACAGACAGTCACACTTACAAACACACACTCAGCAAGACACTCAAGAGACACTGTGAAAGACTGAAAGATGCTGCAAGAGAGAAGTGTAGGAAGTAATTGTAGCAGTTGCTCCACATTTCACTCAGAGCTTTCTTTACACAACCATGGAAAAAGACAGCTGCTCTACTCCCAGAGAGAGAGAGAGAGAGTGAGGAGAGAGAGAAAAAGAGAGAGAAAGAACGAGAGAGAGAGCGAGAGAGAGAGAAACTGAAAGCTCAAAGTAGAGGGATCAGTGTGAGAGCTTTGTTTTATTTGTACTGTCACTGTAAATCAAACAGAAGCATTGTTTAACTCTAACTGTGTGCCTTAGCATATACAGCACACCCTGAATCATGGAAACACACACAACCTTCCTCTTTGGGACATTCCAACAGTCCAGTACACACTCCGTACAGTTGTATTATTAACCTGGGATAATGTTCTTACACAATCACAAGTGGGTGGAATAATACAACAATATTAAGTCTGGTAGTGTTTCTAAATCTGCTAGTTGGCACCACTCATGACTAGCACTTGAGATGAAAAGTGAAATGGATCTTCCCTGCTTCCTGAAT